AACTTTTTACAAATTATTTAAAAAGATAACAAAATGAACTGGACTCCTTGGCAGGTTTTGAATAAACATACATAAATTTATTGAGGGTTAATATAGTAGATAGATAATATAAGGATGTATACAATTTTATAGTAGGCAGAGAACAGCATGAGTTGAGAAATCAGAGAGAGGAGCTGAGGGAAGTATTGGGGGGAGGGAAGGAGGGAGGGTTTGTTGGGAAGGTGGGGGGGAAAGGGGGGAAAATAATGAAGATGATTTCTTTTGATAATTTGTTACGTTGAAATTGTTAATAAAAAATTATTAAAAAAAGAAAGAAAGAAAGAAGCTAATATCTCAAATAAATAAATGAATAAAAAATAAGAGACTGCTTCGAGATTCTCATTGTTTTGGGGTGGGGCTCTATCATGTACAACAAATTCAGATCGTGCAACTATAGTAGAACAGGAAGTCTTGCAAAACAAAACCACTCCCCCCCCAAAAAAAAATTAAGTGAAAAGGAAAGTAGTAGGACAATCTAACCTACCAGCAAAAAAATCAAAATGGCTGCTCAATAATCAGGTCATCTGGAAGTACCCAAAATGCCTTCCTCCCTGGTCATTTTCTCCTTAATTTTCCTGGCTTTTAAAACACCCCCCACACACACACACACTATGTGGTTTCAGAACAATTGAAAATGGGGAGTATTGCATTTGATGCAAACACATTGTGTTTTAAAAATAAAGCCACAGAGTGTTTTCCCCAGTTGTATGGCTGAGGGGGAAATATTCCCTGCCTCACACAAACTGGCTGAGAACAAATTGGTAGTCCGTGAGCACCTCCAGACTGTTAGAAATATGAAGGAGCAATTCAGGCATATACCAGTAAATTTAGGTTTGCACAATTATGGTGGATTAAAGCACTATGTTGCCCTGTCGAAGACAGAAACAGCAGCTTTCTTTCCAACAGCCCAAACCTCCCATGATTTATAAAAAGGCTTCCATTATTTCCTAGCACAACGATGAGTTGGTCAAATGATTCTTTAACGAAACCCAGTAATGGATGGATGACAACACAGCTCACCTAGGTATCATATATTTAAAGAATATTTAAAACACATGACTCCCCCCTCCGAATCCTGGGAATTTTAGTTTGTTAAGGGTGCTGGGAACTGTAGCTCTGTGAAAGGTAAACTGCCATTTCCAAGATTCTTTGGGGAAAGCCACACCCTTTAAATGTAATTTGCATGCAGACATCCCTCCACCAATTATGCCAATTTTTCACCTTTAGTGTGATGGCCTGGGATTCGGACTCAGAGGCTGAACCTGAGGAATCCCAGCCTGCACAGGAGTCCCCGCCTCCAGAACCAGCTGAGCCGGGGCTGGGGCATGAGCCTGAAGGGTCCTCACCTGTGCTGGATCCTCAGGTGCAGGCTCCAGCTAAGTCTGCTCTGGCTCCTGAGGTGATGGAGGACCCATTGCCTGCACGTGCTCCACTCACAGCCCCGTCAGGGGAAGCTGAGGTTGCCTCTGGATCCGGTAACCCTCCAGCCTCTCCTGAGCTACAGAGGCTCAGGGCAGAGAGGCGGAGGGAACTGAGTTCCCGCAGGAAGAGTGCTCACCTCCAGGCCAGGAGAGGCGAGTCACCTGTGGACCGGGGCCGCCCTATGCCTTGGGGCTGATAAAAGCCAGTCAGCCCCAGTCCCAGGTTGCGGGAGCAACGTTGTTGCTAGTCTGTTCCTGCCTGCACCCTGTCCGGCTCTTCTGCCAGAGTTCCTGACCCTACCCGACTCCCTGCCTTGGACCCAGCTACAGCTTTGATGGATAGCCTCCATACCGCACCATCGACCTCGGACTGGACTTGGACCTCGCCTCTCGGTTAGCCCCCGGGACCAGCAGAGTTGGTTTTATTTCTGTCAAAGCACTTGAAGAAATTCCAGCATGTTAGATTCTGTTTTGCCATCCTGTTATTAGGAGAGCCAGTATGGTGTAGTGGTTAAGAGCGGTAGTCTTGTAATCTGGGGAACTGGGTTCGCGTCTCCGCTCCTCCACATGCAGCTGCTGGGTGACCTTGGGCCAGTCACACTTCTTTGAAGTCTCTCAGCCCCACTCACCTCACAGAGTGTTTGTTGTGGGGGAGGAAGGGAAAGGAGAATGTTAGCCGCTTTGAGACTCCTTAAAGGGAGTGAAAGGCGGGATATCAAATCCAAACTCTTCTTCTTCTTCTTCTTCTTCTTCTTCTTCTTCTTCTTCTTCTTCTTCTTCTTCTCTGCTCCCTGAAGGCTGTTGAAATGGTGGTGCCCTCTGCTTAAAGTTAAAATCCGTCCGCAACCGGAAGAGACTAGATTACAGCTCACTCATAACCAAGAGGCTGGAGAGGAGATCATATCCCCCTTTGAATCCTCTGTCATGAGTTGGGGATCTCAGGGCCAAAAAGCACCTCAGAGCCATTGTGATGCCATTGTGACGCAACAGACCTCTTGTCCAGTCCTTGCCATGCTCTTCAAAAGCTGCGTCCAGGAAATAACTTGGGCAGCGCCATCTTGGGACCCATGAACACCTGTCTCACCACAACTCTCTCTGGCCAGGGACGATAAAGCTATAGTCCAGAAGCATCTGAAGGACTATTGGTTCCCCACCTCTGATATATGACATCACTGGCGCTAAGTCACATACATAAACCAGAGCATTTCTGAAGACAGCCCTGCAATAGGGAAGTTTTTAATGTTTGGTGCCATATTGTGTCTTAATTTGTTGGAAGCCGCCCAGAGTCGCTAGGGTAACCCTGTCAGATGGGTGCAGCATATCCATAAATTATTATTATCATTATTATTAATTTTTTCCAGTACAGTGAAGGATATGTAGCAATCAATATTTCCCTCATCAGCAATGAGTTTTATGAGGAGGGCTTCAGTTGTCTTAAGAGTGCCATAGCATCATTTAGAAGAATATAGGTAAAGGTAAAGAGACCCCTGACCATTAGGTCCAGTCACGGACAACTCTAGAGTTGCGGCGCTCATCTTGCTTTATTGGCCAAGGGAGCCGGCGTACAGTTTCCGGGTCATGTGGCCAGCATGACTAAGCCGCTTCTGGCGAACCAGAGCAGCGCACTGAAACGCCGTTTACCTTCCCGACGGAGTGGTACCTATTTATCTACTTGCACTTTGACGTGCTGCCAAACTGCTAGGTTGGCAGGAGCAGGGACCGAGCAACGGGAGCTCACCCCGTCACTGGGATTTGAACTGCCGACCTTCTGATTGGCAAGTCCTAGGCTCTGTGGTTTAACCCACAGCGCCACCCGCGTCCCTAGAAGAATATAAATCCCACAATAAATAAGCAGGTGAATAACTATTTTAAGAAGGGTATGAAAAGTGGTGAGATATTCTTTCCCTTACCTTCCAGATTATCGTACAATTTCCTTTGCCCAGCTAACTTTGAGCCTGGCATTGACAACTGGGCAGGAGGCAGCCATTTTGTGTTAAGCCATGCGCTGGTGTCCAGGTCAAGGGAAGCCATAGTCCCATTCTATTCTGTCTTGGTCAGACCCCGCCTGGAGTCCCGTGTCCAGTTCTGGGTGCCACAACAGAAGGAAACCAAGCCTTATGAGGAATGGTTGAAGGAGCTGGGTATGTTTAGCCTGGGGGTGGGGAGGAGACTGATATTTTCCAATATCTCAAGGGCTGTCACGTGGAGCATGGATATAGTTTGTTTTTCCCCTGCTCTGGAGTATAGGACCTAAATCAGTGGCAAAAAAGGAGATTCCAAATCAACATAAAGAAGAAATTTCTGTTCGACCCTGAAAGGTTTGGTGGTGGAAACAGAAGGGGTTTTATCATAGGCCCAAAAATCAGCCCTCGACGCCTTAACCTGCGGGAAAACATTTTTTTGAAAAAATCCCTAAATTCTCTCGTGCAAGGTTTTGCGGTGCAAAAAGCATGTTTTATCATAGACCAAAAAAAATCAGCCCTCGGTGGCTTAACTCGTGGAAAAATTTCACCAAAAATCTGACATTATCCAATTCATTCAAAAATGGTGCCAAACTGTTCAAAGTTTGGCACTGGAAACAGAAACACATACAGTGGTACCTCAGGTTACATACGTTTCAGGTTACATACGCTTCAGGTTACAGACTCCGCTAACCCAGAAATATTACCTCAGGTTAAGAACTTTGCTTCAGGATGAGAATAGAAATCGTGCTCTGGCAGCAGGAGGCCCCATTAGCTAAAGTGGTGCTTCAGGTTAAAAACAGTTTCAGGTTAAGAACGGACCTCCGGAACGAATTAAGTACTTAACCCAAGGTACCACTGTACTGGCGGCGAAGCCAGATCAGATCCATCCCTGCCCACTTCGCCCAACCTGAGGAAACCCGGGGGGGGGGGGTGTTGGACTAGATGACGCTCCGGGACAGGGCTGGATTTAGGTTTGATGAGGCCCTAAGCTACTGAAGATAATGGGGCCCTTTATATGCCCAGCTGTCCTTTGTCAACAACAAATTGTCGCTGTTTTTTGTGTTGAATATATGCTATATGGTATTTTATGGACCTAACAGGCATCTAAAGCCATTTTCACATGCAGGATGTAGGCACCCTATATATAGAAATGAGCAAACCTGTGATATTTTAGGGAGCAGGCTAGCATTACTTACATCATAGGAGCCTACACAACACAAAACACTGTTGCTGTATCTAGGTTTTATTTTTTGGGTTTTTTATCTTATATTTTGGAAATGTACATCCAGTGTTTATCCCCTTTAATTTTTTCGGGGGCCCCAATGGAGTGGGGCCCTAAGCTATAGCTTGTTTATAGCTTATGCGCAAATTCGGCACTGCTTGTAAGGCATCTCCGTGTCACAGCTCCTGCCATTCCATGACCTTTGGAGTGCCAGGATGATGCCCATAAAAAAGTATCACTATTATGATTATTATTATTACTACTGATCTCTGTGTAGAGACAGGCAGGTGGGCAGAAACACATCCTGGCGGCAGAAACGGATCCCTGCCCACTTCGCGCTACCCGAGGGAGAAAAGCCGGATCGATCAACCCGGCGCGCGCGGGGTTGGACTAGATGACCCTCGGGGATCCCTTCGAACGGCGCGATCCCATCCCACCGGGAAAGCGCCGGATCTAGCGAGACCCTGCGCGGCTGCGGAGACGCAGCCGAGTAGATTCCCAGGCCGGGGGGTTTGAAGCAGCCGCCGCAGGAGGCGGAGCTGGATCCGGAGGGGCCTGGTCGCCGGCCGCCCTCCGCCTCCTCCTCAGCCGCCGCCGCCGCGCCACACGCAGAAGGCAAGGGAGCCGCGATGGACGCCGCCACCGCCGGCAGCAAGGAGCGGGAGGCCGCGCATCTCCTGGCCGAGGCCGAGAAGAGGGTGAAGTCCTCGCACTCCTTCCTCAGGGGCCTCTTCGGGTGAGAGCGGGCCAGGGGATCGGGCAGAGGGGATCGCCTCTCGAGGCCTGGAAGGAAGGGATCCTCCCTCGCGGGGACCCGCCGCCGCTCGGTTTTAGGCCCCGCTGGGTGCGGGAGGTGGGTCGATCCGCGTCTGCGGGCGATGGATCTAGAGGATCCAGACAGGACGGGTCTAGAGGAGAGCCGAGGGGCAACGGATCTCCCTCCCCTTTGCGACCGTCGAGCAGATCCCGCTTTTCTCCCAAGGATTGCGCGAAGTGGGCAGGGATGGATCCTGATCCGGCTTCGCCTCCGTCGCCAGGATGTATTGCTGCCATAGCTGTCAACTTTTCCCTTTTCTTGCGAGGAATCCTATTCGGAATAAGGGAATTTCCCTTAAAAAAAAGGGAAACGTTGACAGCTATGATTTCTGCCCACCTGCCTGTCTCTACATAGACAGACGAGGAGGAGGAGTAATCATAATCATAATAATGAATAATACTTTTTTGTGGGCATCATCCTGGCACTCCAAAGGCCATGGAATGGCAGGGGCTGTGACATGGCAGTGTCTATAAGGCAAGGACAGATTGCAGAGGAGCATCGCACGCTGAGCTGGGAACAATTCCTGTTTAATTGGACTTAAGGTAGTTTCGGGCTGCCTTAATGACTTAGCAGAGTTGTGGCGGCATCATCGCCATCCTTGTTTCAGTATGAATCCGCGCATGGGATGATGTCCTCTTCTCAGTTGGCAGGTGTGGGTACAGTAGGGAGGAAATAAACTGCAAAACCCTACAAAAACCACCCTGGGATCTGCGAGGGAAGGGTGGTAAACAAATTTAATGAATCATCATCACCGGCTCAAATGGAATCATAGCATTGTAGAGTTGGAAGGGACCACAGGGTGTGTGTGTGTGTGTGATCTAATCTAGTGTTTCCCAACCTTTTTCCGACTGTGGCCCCCTTCTGAGCTTGTTTCCTTCCTGTGGCCCCCCCATGGGCGTAGCCAAGGGGAGCAGCTGCTCCCCCAAGAATTAAAAATCAATACATATTGAAATATACTCGGAGTCGAGTGTGAATTTCATGCTCTTTATTCAGGTCATAGTAGCAATAAATGAAACTTTCCCCCAAACGTCTAGCTATATATACATTATTTACAAAATGGGCCCTGCGTGATTGGCTAATTCCGGGCTGCTCCTGTAGGCCAATCAGGTTGCGGATTCACCTCCTCCAGAAGCCTGATTGGTTGCTCCTGCAGGGCCAATCAGGTTGCTGATTCGCTTCATCCAGGAGCCTCATTGGCTGCTCCTGCAGGCCAATCAGGTTGCTGATTCACTTCCAGCTGGATTGGGTGACTCCTGCGGACCAATCAGACTGCTGCATTCTGGATCCTATTGGTCTAGGATTCAGCTCAGTACATAATACATATCAATACAAATTTGAGGTTCTGCTCCCCCCTAACAAAAGCCTGCCCCCTAACCAGATGACCCCGCATGGATTTCACCCCGTGCATTGCAGAGCCTGGCCAATGGTGCTGATGGGCCCTGATCCCCCAGGCACTGGGGTGGATTACACCCAGCGCCTTGCAGAGTCAGGCCCAGGTTACGACCGGGCCCAGCTCTGGGAGCAGCAACAAGCATCTTGGGCTCACCCAGCCCTACCCCATTAGTGCCCTTACCTGACCTGGGAGTTCTGAAACAGAGGCCCTACTGGTTAAAACAGGAGCTGATCGCCCTCTCCTGCTGGAAATAAACCTGGACTACTCCAAGAAAGGACGTGGGTGGCGCTGTGGGTTAAACCACAGAACCTAGGACTTGCCGATCAGAAGGTCGGCAGTTCGAATCCCCGCGACGGGGTGAGCTCCCGTTGCTTGGTCCCTGCTCCTGCCAACCTAAGAGTTTGAAAGCACATCAAAGTGCAAGTAGATAAATAGGTACCACTCCAGCGGGAAGGTAAATGGCGTTTCCGTGCGCTGCTCTAGTTCGCCAGAAGCGGCTTAGTCATGCTGGCCACATGACCTGGAAGCTGTACGCCGGCTCCCTCGGCCAATAAAGCGAGATGAGCGCCGCAACCCCAGAGTCGGTCATGACTGGACCTAATGGTCAGGGGCTCCTTTACCTTACTCCAAGAAAGTGCACATGGTGAAAAGGAGCACTAGGCCATGGGTAGGCAAACTAAGGCCCGGGGGCCGGATCCGGCCCAATCGCCTTCTCTCTTTTTAAATTTTTTTAAAATTAATTTTATTAAATAATACAAGAATGTCAAAGAAAGACAAATTTCAAACATATGCATATAAACACAATCATTCACACATTGTAGAACAATATTTAGAAAACAAGAAAAGCAAAAAATAGAAAATAGAAAGATACTTTCCGTAAACAACAATCTTTGTTGTTCCTCTGTTTCCACTTTCCTCTGTGGCCCCCCAGCCTCATGCTGTGGGCCCTCCCCATTTACGCATTTTTCACCTGTGGCCCCCTTGGAATATCCTGAACCCCCCATTGGGAAACACTGATCTAGTCCAATTGCCTGCAATGCAAGAGTCTGATGTTTGCTACTTCATCTGTTGCTTCTAAGGTTTTTACGAGGGCATAGTTCTGAAAATCATTTAGCTGTTTTGTAACCTCTTCTTCTTCCTGGGATATTTGGTGATGCACCTTGTAGCAGCTGATTTCTACATTACATCAGGCAAACCTTGAAGAAGTTCTTCTCAGATTATTGGTTAATTAGCAATCATGCATCTGATTCCGCTAATCCGTTAATTCAAATGGATATCTCATTTTGTTCTTAAAGAGATTAGATCCTCAGTTTGTGCCAGGTTTGTTAAAGCAACTGGATTTACGAACGCCTGCTCTCTAGGAAAGGAGGTGAATTTTACAGAGAAAATATGTGCTCTGGTCTCGACAAATCAGTTTGGGTCCTTACAGTTGACCTTGAGTTTCTTTCTTTCTTTTTAAACAGCCATGGCTGTTTTTATGTTACATTTTGCTGTTACAAGCATTTATGATGACATTATTTCAAGGGAACACTGTGTTCATAAGACTTCTTGATAGCAGTCCATCATAATAATTCTCTTCCAGTATTTCTTCAGCAAATGAACTGTCAAGTGTAACCGGATTTTTGCCAATAGATAACTACAGAACTGATTTAACTTTTTCCTTTCTGTTTATATTTAGGAAGATAAATGTTTTATTGTCTTTTTTTTTTTTAATAAGAGGTGTAAGAAACTCACCCTTTTATTTCATTTCTGCTTTTAAAAAGTCTGCACAGAGTTACAGTATCGGAACATAAGAACATACAAAACTACCTTATAGCAAGTCAGACCAACAGTCTGTATTGTCAACACTCACACACAGCAGCTCTCTCAAGTTTCAGACTGGGGAATTTTACCAACCCTACCTAGAAATATTGGGGTTTGAAGCTAGAGTCCTCTGCATGCAAAGTTTTGGGCCTTCCCCAACACATTGAGGATATGTGGATGTGGTTATAGCCCTCTTTTTTGGCTTCTGGCAGATGATGACATAATTTAGGCTCCAAACTCTTCTCTCTAGACTGGACTTGGGGGCTTGTTGACAGTGCAGATGCTAACTAACAAAAGCAGCTCCTCATTTATCTGTAGACTCTATTACTGGTTAATTTACAGCAGGCATCCCCAAACTCGGCCCTCCAGATGTTTTGGGACTACAACTCCCATCATCCCTAGCTAACAAGACCAGTGGTCAGGAATGATGGGAATTGTAGTCCCAAAACATCTGGAGGGCTGAGTTTGGGGATGCCTGATTTACAGTGTTGGCTACCTCTGGAATACAACGACTCAATTTTTCCATAAATTGATTATATTGTTTTCCTACCTCTTTTACTTTTAACATAATAATAATAATAATGATAATAATAATGATAATAATAATGATTATTATTATTATTATTATTAATACCTCGCCCTCCCCAGCCAAGGCTGGGCTCATAGCATTTTGCTATTAACAAGTTCAACCATGTAGGCCATATCCAATATTAATTTGTTCTAGCCATAACTAATGGTTGAATGGACCATGGTTAGTAAATATATTACATTTCTATATTGTCTGGAAGTATCATATCATTTACATATCCCGCTAGGGTAACTAAAGGGTCCACTGGTAATTCAAAACCTGATTTTTTTCCTATAAAAATAATATATTATAGAAAGCCTGATTTATTTAGGGCAAGTCCGGAATGCATGAAGAATATTCAATCTATTCGAGCTACATCTGCAACATTTATTTTCTACATTTGACTCATCTTATGTGGAGTCCAGTACCATTTAAATAGCCATTTCTAATAATTTTTTGTGCATACTGTAGGATGCCTTTCCACACCCAAACTCACATTTCTTGTGCCATAATTTGCGTAAGGTTTTTAGTCACTAATCTGTGGAAGTGCCTCATAATGCATAGATCTGCTGTGATTTTATATACTTGGCTCAGGATTTTTACAGCTGGCTTGCTAGAAATCATTACCCTGAAGTTTGTAGAGTTGCGCAGTGAGCTACGGAGAGTTACTAATGAATAAGTTACTAATTATATGTTGTACGTGAAAGTATTGACCTAAGGGAATACAATGACTACCTGTTTCTTCAACAGTTTCCCTAGAACTCCTCACTGGTACAATTTTGATATAGTTTTCTAATTGCAGTTAACCCATTTCTGCATATTTCTCAAGATGCTTTTGTCTTCTCTTTGTTATATTGGATTGCTGTGAACGATGGCAGACCAGGACTTAATCTACTATTGTAGAAACACCAAATCTTAAATCAGCTACTAAAGCACATGTTTGCTAGGAAATTACCCACGTCCTTACTGTTCCAATGCCATAGGTTGTTGTTTAGTCGTTTAGTCATGTCCGACTCTTCGTGACCCCATGGACCAGAGCATGCCAGGCACTCCAGTCTTCCACTGCCTCCCGCAGTTTGGTCAAACTCATGCTGGTAGCATGAGTTATTTCATTATGTGAAATAATGGTATAATGGAACCATAACTCATCAAAAGACATTTTTGGCATTAACTCGTACACACACACACACACACAGAGAGAGACTGGTATGTCCACAGCAAAAGATACACTGCGAGAGTCAAGGTGGAATAGCAGTTAAAGTGACAGAATAGGCCCTGGGAGACTTCAAGGGCTAAATGTGGTCAGGACCACGGACAGCTCTCTGTAGTGGCTCAATACAAGGCCAAAGCATCAGTGTCCTTAGAGCAGTGGTTCTCAACCTGTGGGTCCCCAGATGTTGTTGGACTACAACTCCCATCATCCCTGAGCTCTGGGCTTGCTAGCTAGGGGTGATGGGAGTTGTAGTTCAACAACATCTGGGGACCCACAGGTTGAGAAAGGCTGCCTTGGAGAGTTGCTTCTGGACTGCTGCAGCTGTGTGGGTATCTCAAGTTCCATTTCCTCAGAGCAAAGTTGTCTACGCTGAAAGGGACTATATACTGTTTTGTAGTCTGAAGCTCTGGTAGGACTGAGAAGCCTCTTGTTGCGCATGGATGAAGTAGAGAGGCAGTGGAAAGGGACTCTTCCAAGCTGCAGGTAGTTCTGGGATAAGTCCTCTGGGGCTGAGAGCTGCCTCCTTTGTGGGAGAAGCTAGAGGTGTATCTGGATTCCAGAGCTATCCTTTGAAAGTTTTATTTGGCGGTGGGGTTAATTCATTTGGAGGCTGTTTCCTCAGATGATCTCTGAATCTTCATTGATTCCCAATTCTTTGTTGAAAGACCCCTCTTCATTGTACCCCTCCTCTGATAGTGGTGTCTGGACCACATTAGTAAAAATGCCAATCTTTCTCTGTTGTCTTCAGGCTTTCATTGTGCAAGGTAGAGCATTCATTGTGTAGTCAACTACCAAGGACTCACAGTTGTGTAATGTAAACCGTTTATGTCATGGAATCAGGTTGAGACGTCCCTTTCATACCTGGTTGTTTCATAGCATTAGAAATATCTGCCTCCTTCCAATTCCTTTTCTCTTTCTGGTTTTTTTTTTCCCCATAGAGGAAATTCAAAGGTAGAAGAAGCATGTGAAATGTATACCAGAGCTGCAAATATGTTCAAGATAGCCAAAAACTGGAATGGTATGTATGGAAATGTTTTCTTCCTTTGCAGAAGGAGAAGGCCAATGGATAGTTGTAGAGCTCCCATATAACTTTATGATGCCCCATAGATATATGGGGTAATTTATTCCAGCTGTTTGATCAGAATTAACATTCCTTAATTTCACATGCGGGGACGCGGGTGGCGCTGTGGGTAAAAGCCTCAGCGCCTAGGGCTTGCCAATCGAAAGGTCGGCGGTTCGAATCCCCGCGGCGGGGTGCGCTCCCGTCGCTCGGTCCCAGCGCCTGCCAACCTAGCAGTTCGAAAGCACTCCCGGGTGCAAGTAGATAAATAGGGACCGCTTACTAGCGGGAAGGTAAATGGCGTTCCGTGTGCTGCGCTGGCTCGCCAGATGCAGCTTTGTCACGCTGGCCACGTGACCCGGAAGTGTCTCCGGACAGCGCTGGCCCCAGGCCTCTTGAATGAGATGGGCGCACAACCCCAGAGTCTGTCAAGACTGGCCCGTACGGGCAGGGGTACCTTTACCTTTTACCTTTAATTTCACATGCAAGCCCTTACAGTGTATGATGCAGCCATTCCCCTTTGGCTGATAGCCTAAGTCAGTGTTTCCCAAACTTTTTTGGGCAACGGCACACCTGTTTACTGAAAAAAAATCTCACGGCACACCACCATTAAAGCCCCGCCCCGTGACGTCAGCGCGCAGCGTCACGCCGGGAGGGACGCAGGAAAGTGAAAGTTTTTTCCCTCCCCCTTGCCGGGGAACCTCCAAGCTTTGGGGGTGGGAGGAGGCAGCAGAGCGAGGGACTGAGGGACGGCGGCAAGTCCCGCCCCCTCGCCAGACTCCCTGCTCGGCTCGGCTCACTAGCCAGGCGGCCAGTGGAGAGAGAGCCGCAATTACCATAAAGCTCCTCTCCCTCCGCTTCGCCAAGCTGTCAAAGCCCGGCAGCAGCAGGCGCAGCCAGACCCCCGCCAGCCAGCCCGCCCGCCCGGCTTCCTCTCCTTTTTTTGCCCGCGGCAGAAGGCTTTGCTCTCCCCCTTCTGCGACCACCTCGCCAAGCCGAGCGAGCGCGGGCTCCCTAACCCGTGGATTTTAGTAGGGGCAGAGAGCTGCTAGTGCGAGCGCGCCCCCCGCCCATGTTGCGCCCGGTGCGGCCGGCACCCCTGGCACCCCCCACGCTACGCCACTGGCGGCAACTGAGGCGGCGGCGGCTGTTGTGGTGGTGGCGGCGATAGCGGGCGGAGGAGGGGGCGGCGGCGGGGCTTGAGGAGCCGTCGCCGGGAGTTGCTGCTGCTGTTGTTGCTGCTGCTGCCCGGACATGCCGGCCTCCTCCTCCTCCGCTGTCTCGCGCTCCTCCCTTTTGCACGCGCTGCCCCGCCGCTCGGCACCACCACCGCGGAGCCGCCCCCGGCTCGACGCGGATCCTCGCCGCCGCCTCTCACCGCCCGACTCGCCCGCCTCCCTCCCACGGCACACCAGCCAATGTCTGACGGCACAGTAGTGTGCCGCGGAACACCGGTTGGGAAACACTGGCCTAAGTCATGGTTTGCTTGCATTGAATTTTTAAAACCACTCATCTCTGTGTATGCTAGATAATGACTCTGCTGTTTGTTGATGATTCATTCCCTTTTCCCAAGACGAAATGGAGGTGATTCAGAAGCCCTTACTTTCCCTTGCTTTCAGTTCAGCCCTTGATTGTTTCAGAACTCATTATTTCTGGATAGGTTAATTTGACAGAAACTTGTGGAGGGATTGGCTGCACACTAGTAAAATTCATTTAAGTTATCAATGTGTCTTGTTTTCCCTTATTGCCTTTTGCATGTCATCTATAAACAGATGCCTTCTCCGCATTGGTCCTCTAGCCGTCAATTTTACCCTAGAGTTGTATACTTAAAATATTGCATAATTTCTAATGTTTCCCTTTCTTCTACACCTTTCTCACGGTCTTTGTGAATGTGTAGTATATTTCTACCTGGAACAATTGCATTGCTACATAGGATTTATTTGTGATAATTAAAACTCCTTTAAAAGAATGGCAGGGGTAGGGAACCTGTGGCTCTCTAGATCATGAGTAGGCAAATTAAGGCCTGGGGGCTGGATCCGGCCCTATTGCCTTTGACATCTGGCCTGTGGACGGTCTGGGAATCAGCATGTTTTTACATGAGTGGAATGTGTCCTTTTTAAAAAATGCATCTCTGGGTTATTTGTGGGGCCTGCCTGGTGTTTTTACATGAGTAGAATGTGTGCTTTTATTTCAAATGCATCTCTGGGTTATTTGTGGGGCATAGGAATTCCTTCTTTTTCTTTTCTTTTTTCAAAATATAGTCCGGTCCCCCACAAGGTCTGAGGGACTGTGGACCGGCCCCCTGCTGAAAAAGTGTGCTGACCCCTGGATGTTGTTGGACTGTAAGTCCCATCAGTCCCAGTCAGGAAAGGCCCATGGTCAGGGATGATGGAGCTTTTGGTCCAGCCACATCTGGAGGGCCAGAGGTTTCCCACCCCTGAAGAACATAAGAACATCTTGCGCTTTGTAATTAATTCAGAGACAGATCCAGAACAGAGAAAATTACAACAATCATTGCAAGCTGTCCTTCAGAAACATCTGCACTCTTCCAAGCTAGAGCAAATAATCGGCTATCTTTCAGTGTGAGCCTGAATTCTGTATTTCCAAAGGAAAATATTGTGGGCGGGGGTGTGTGGGAGAGATCATTGTCCTTTTTGTCATTCAAATGGCTTCTTATAACATTGTCTAGAGATCATGTGATTTGGGGACTGTTTCTTTTCCAGCTGCAGGGAATGCATTTTGTCAGGCAGCTAAACTCCACATGCAACTACAGAGTAAACATGATTCAGCAACCTGTTTTGTAGACGCAGGCAATGCTTTCAAAAAGGCCGATCCCCAAGGTAAGATGCATCTTGTGCATAGTACAACTGTCTAGGTTGGTATTTACCTATGTTGAACGAGGCATTTAGGTAGGACGATTACATATAAAGCTCTACAGTTTGTAGCTTGGAGATTTTCCTAAGCCAAGGCAGCCCAACGAAACTGTACTCTCCTGAAAATAATATATCATCATGAGCAGTCCTGAAAGGTCCCATGGGAAACTCGGAATAAATGTAGTGTTAGGTCCATTTCACACCATTGTTTTATGTGCAGTGGGGTCAGTAATAATTGTGGGATATGAATGGGTTTGTTGAATGACATATAGCTGACTTTTAAGGATACTGAAAAGTGTGTAAGGCTCCAGTCCTATACATATTTACCTGGGAGTAAGCCCCATTGAACTTAGTGTGGTTTGCATAGGGTTTACTGTACGTATCTTGTGCTAGGATGCATAATAAAACATTAATCCTTCCAAACTGTTTCCCCCCTTAAAGAATAGTGAAAAATAATACTATATCATGATACCTGTTTCTAAAAAATAAATCTTAATGTTTTCCCCAAACAAAATATGCCTAAACATTTGCTAATCAATGACAGTTTTTTTCTGACTGTTCATGCCATTTTAAAGGTTTTACTAACACCCAGGCTATGGCCATTCCAGCTAAGATTATCCATGCTCATGTGGATATTTGCATGCATAGATCCTGACTTATATTAAAGGTCCTATATGTGATGGGAAGAGAATGAATGAGTCTTAGGCTTGTTGCAATAGTACACACACACACACACACACACACACACACGTGTGTGTCACGTATACAAGGGCCTGTATGAATTGACTATGCCTTAATTCAGTTTGAAGACGCAAATATTGCAGCCTACAAATGTTTTATTGTGTTTTTAATATTCTGTTGGGAGCCACCCAGAGTGGCTGGGTAAGCCTGAACAGATGGGTGGGATATAAGTAATAAATTAGTAGTAGTAGTATTACAAATTAGGACTGGGACGGCTGGGAGGACAGCAGTAGATGGTGCCAGAGTCAATTACAGGCTGAGCCAACTACTGTATTTTTCGCTCTATAAGACGCACCAGACCATAAGACGCACCTAGTTTTTGGAGGAGGTAAACAAGAAAAAAAATATTCTGAATCCCAGAAGCCAGAACAGCAATAGCGATCCCTCTAGCTGTTCTGGCTTCTGGGATAGCTGCACAGCCTGCATACGCTCCATAAGATGCACACACATTTGCCCCTTAATTTTTAGAAGGGAAAAGGTGTGTCTTATAGAGCGAAAAATACGGTAATTCTAGTTTTGTCCCCTTCCTCCTCCCTGCTGCATTCTACAAGGGAAAAAGTGAGACTAAGAAGGAGAAAAATGACAGCCCATGTTGCTTCATCAACTGGCTATAAGAAGGCAGGCAGGTGGGGGCTGACTGAGGGCAAACTGAAATTGGTGGGGCCATTTGCCTGTTTACCATAATGGCACAACCTCCATTGCACATGAGTGCTGGGGCGCATATATTGAACATGTGTCCATGTTCTTTCCATCGGAGGTGGCTGGTGTCTTTGTCAGCCAGTCCCCTCAGTGGAAGTATATGGAGAAGCTCTTGAAGATGGGAGACTTCCAATAATTATGTCAGAGCACCTGTGCTCAAAAGGGATCTCTGGCAAGGGGCATCAGTATCTTACGCATATGTCTGAGGGTGAATGGGTTGAGTCGCTATTAGAATTTAAGAATGACTGAGGTTCTGAACGCTGAGTCTAATGAGCTGAGCAAGCTAGTTCCTTGTACTTGTGAAATAAACCATGTTTGAATGACTGAGCTGATTTTATTCATTATCTCCCCCTAAAATGCATACGGTACAGAGGCTATCAACTGCTTAAATGCCGCCATCGATATTTACACAGACATGGTAAGAAACCCTAGGTGCTAGGGTTGGGATTCCAGTTCATGACCGTGCAGTTTGGTGTTAACTCTTTGGTTCAGCTGTCTTTGTGGTCAGCGTTGAAAAGAGAATAATTAGGTCAACTGCTTCTCTTCCTAGGGCCGATTTACTATTGCAGCCAAGCATCACATTACCATTGCGGAGATTTATGAGTCTGAGCTCGTGGACATTGAAAAGGTATGCCCATTAAGTTATCGGAGTCCCTTGTGTACATGTTAAGACACTGTCAGAATAGTCTGAAAATATTTAGATTGCAACCCTGTGCATACTTCCTTGAGCGCAGACATAGCCCAGCAAGCCACACAGAATACTCTTGGCTTACTCAAATGGTGGCAGTGGTAGTGGGAAGTATACAAGAATATATTTTCAGATGAAGAGGAATCCTTTTAGCAAAGGCAATAAAAGTACATTAGAAATACAGCCACTCCACCTATGACACTGGCTGTTTTATTTTCTATCCTTTCCTAGTTTGAAATTTGTTTTTGTTTTCTTCAGTGTTGCATAAGTTATGAAAAGCCACTGTTTTGCTTTCTTTAGGCTATTGCCCATTATGAACAGGCTGCAGATTACTACAAAGGGGAAGAATCCAACAGGCAAGTTTTCATAAAATAGCTACTCTTAGTGTTCAGTGTATACCGTGTTTTTCGCCCTATAGGGCGCACCGGCCCATAGGACACACTTATTTTTTTTGGGGGGGGGAAATAAAGGGGGGGAAATTATTCCCCCCCCCCAGCCCCAAAGAGCAAAGACCATTGATCAAGGATGATTGGATTTGTAGTCCAACCGCATCTGGAGGGCCACAGGTTTCCCTTGATAAAGATCTATCATATGATGACTGAATACCAGTGTTCTTCCATCTGTCTGCATGGGGTCAAATAATTTCCTAAGGAACTAAAGCTTCTTCATCAGTCGTACAATGCTCCATTTTGCATTTGTTTAGAAATCCTTACTTCTGTGCAATTCAGTTAATTCTACCTCTTGCTTCTAGTTCTGCTAACAAATGTCTGCTGAAGGTGGCTGGGTATGCTGCTCAGTTAGAGCAATATCAGAAGGCAGTTGAACTCTTTGAACAGGTAGGTTCGCTGTAGGGATATCGCGGAGTGGGGCAGTGGGGTCCGGAGGGAGCCCACTTCCCCACCTGCAGGCAGCCACAATTTGCCTGCACGCGTGACCTTGGGGTGCAGGGAACCCCCCCCCCCCAGACAAGCCACAGCTGTCTGTACATCGTTCCACCTCTGCCTGACCTTCCGCCTCTGCATGACCTTTTGCGATCTCAGCAGTCAGTGGTGTCCTGTCTGTAACCCTTTTCCATGAGACCTTTGTCTCCTTTCGTCATACACTGTGCAAGGGGAAAATGACGCTGTGGAACAGGTGCCAAAATAGCTTTGTACCACCCCACGATCTCGGGACGGAAGATGTGTAAAGGTCACAGCCCAAAGTGTATTTGCCTGGCTTGCATATTTGTCTCAATAAAAGGAGGCTCCACAGGAATGGTGGTAGCTTGCTCGCTTCAGCCCACCTGTGTGCAGCTCACATGATGATCAACACCTGTCTTGGGCCTTCACTTCAGTTCGCCACATTCAATGTCACAAAAGGGAGAGAATAAACCATAGGCATACAATCCAAAGGATTGTCCATTTATTCCTGCTCATTTCTTAACCAGTTACTGATCCCCAGGAGGACCTCTCCACTTATTCCATGATTATTAAGCTTACTCAGGCGTTGTCAGAAGCTTTATGAAAGTCTTATGTACAGAATGTCAACTGGATCGCCTCTGTTTATATGCTTATTGGCACTTTCAAAGAAATAGAAAGGGTTAGTGAGGCGGGACTTACTCTTGCAGAAGCCATGCTGCTGGTTCTGCTTCAGCGAGAACTGCTGTTTTACATGCTTGGGAATTCAGATTTTAACCAGTTTTCCTGTAATATTGGCCTGTTAAGGCTAATTGGCCTTAAAATGAAACAAAATGTAAGTGTTGATCCTCAAAAACCACATCAAATAACCACCCCACCCGCAAAAGAATTTCAAAAATAAATGACCCAAAGTTGGACCATTAAAGGTACCGCTGCCCGTACGGGCCAGTCTTGACAGACTCTAGGGTTGTGCGCCCATCTCACTCAAGAGGCCGGGGGCCAGCGCTGTCCGGAGACACTTCCGGGTCACGTGGCCAGCGTGACATCGCTGCTCTGGCGAGCCAGAGCCGCACACGGAAACGCCGTTTACCTTCCCGCTAGTAAGCGGTCCCTATTTATCTACTTGCACTCGGGGGTGCTTTCGAACTGCTAGGTTGGCAGGCGCTGGGACCGAGCAATGGGAGCGCACCCCGCCGCGGGTATTCGAACCGCCGACCTTTCGATCGGCAAGCCCTAAGCGCTGAGGCTTTTACCCACAGCGCCACCCGCGTCATTAGTGCTGCCCAAATGACAAAGTCTGTGCCAGGCCACCTCAGTATTTATGAGTTCCCACGTACTTTCCCCAATGGGATCACTTCCAGGGGCTTTCATAGAATCGTAGTCCAACCCCGTGCAATACAGGAATCTTTTGCCCAACGTGGGGCTGAAACCCACAGCCCTGAGATTAAGAGTCTCATGCTCTGCTGACAAGCTCAGTACCCAAACAACACTGGATCATCATTACTGATGCTATTGTGTTGCACAGTACTGTACTGAGAATATGACTCTTGGCGTATAAAATATAGTTCACTATTTGTGGTAGAGTGAAATGTGTTGTGAAATTGAAATAATATTTTAAAACTAATGTATTATTATTATTAAGGGACGCGGGTGGCGCTGTGGGTTAAACCGCAGAGCCTAGGACTTGCCGATCAGAAGGTCGGCAGTTTGAATCCCCGCCATGGGGTGAGCTCCCGTTGCTCGGTCCCTGCTCCTGCCAACCTAGCAGTTTGAAAGCACGTCAAAGTGTAAGTAAATAAATAGGTACCACTCTGGCGGGAAGGTAAACGCCGTTTCCATGCGCTGCTCTGGTTCGCCAGAAGCAGTTTAGTCATGCTGGCCACATGACCCAGAAGCTGTACGCCGGCTCCCTCGGCCTGTAAAGCGAGATGAGCGCCGCAACCCCAGAGTCGGCCACGACTGGACCTAATGGTCAGGGGTCCCTTTACCTTTACCTATCATCATCATCATTATTATTATTATTAACAAAGTTAAGTCTGGAGTTCTGGGACAACAAAATACTGGCATTTCAAATAGAATGAAAGGGAATCACAAGGAACTGGATGATATAATAGCGTTTTGGATTTTACTGCTCCCAATTGGGCTAAATGTCTGTTTGCTCTCTTTAGGTTGGAACAAGCACTATGGATAATCCATTACTCAAGCACAGTGCAAAAGATTACTTCTTTAAAGCTGCCCTGTGTCACTTTATAGTTGACGAGTTGAATGCTAAGGTTAGTGCAACTCACTAAGTACCATCGTTGTATAGGCCAAGATGCACCCTCGTTTGTACAAAGAATGTACAGAATCAGTTGACTAACGTTAAACCACCAATACCATCTGCTCATACTGCTGTTCTTCCTGCAATGACAAGTGATCACTGTACAAGCCCTACTTGAATGTCCTTTTCTGTGCTTGCTTATGGTAATGTGAGACTATGAGGCAAGAAGAGTCATCACAATTGCCTTGTGTTTTCTTGCCTCAAACCTTTGATGGCCATCACATATGTCTAAAGCCAGTCCTGTCTGTTTCAAGTATGGAGGTGTAGTTTCAGGTTTGAGATAAAACAGATGTAAGGAACAGATAGGAACATACTACCATATGTGGTGGTCCTGTCTAGAGATACAAAGATTTTGGAATATGATTTATGAAGAGATAAAGAGATTGATAAAAACTACATTTAGCAAGAAACTGGAAGAATTTTTACTAGGAATGGTTTCAGATAATATTCCCAAAAACAAAACCAGGCTAATTATGTATGCAACGTCAGCAGCAAGGGTTATAGTGGCAAAACACTGGAAAGATAAAAATATACCTACTAAAGAGGAATGGGTAGTCAAATTGTGCGAGTACTTGGAGCTCACAAAGCTGACAGATGCTATAAGAGATAAACCTAAAAAATTGGTGAAAGAAGAATGGGAATGTTTAAATAATTATTTAGGGGACAAGGGCTCAGCAAGAAAGATCTGGCTATGTCTAGAACAGGGGTGTCAAACTCAAATTCATCGGGGGCCGCGTCAGCAGTTTGGTCACCCTCAAAGGGCCGGTTGTATCTGTAGGACTATGTAAAGGACATGTAAAGTGGAGTTTTCCTGTGTAGAACGGCCAGCGCCGCTAGAGGGCAGACGTTCTCTGGCTTGTAGGCTGCCGCGCATGCGCTGAAGAGGCGGCTTTCTTGTGTCAAAAAAAAAAAGCGAGAATAAAAGGTGAAGGCTGGCGGCCGACGGCGGCTACACGGGCCACATGACGAGGTCTGACGGGCCAGATTTGGCCCGCGGGCCTTGTGTTTGACACCCGTGGTCTAGAATGATACCGCATAGAGAAATGTTCCCTGATACCAAGATGAGGGATTCCTTTGGAATGCAGATAGAGATAATTGATAAGAATAATGATCTGTTGTGAGCTTGATGGAAGTGTACAATGGATGAGCTTTCCTGCTTTGGCTCATCTTCCTTTTTCTTTTTCTTTTTCTTTTTTTCCTATTTTTCTTTCTTCTTTTCTTTCTTCTTTCCCATAGTTGCTTATGTTCTGTGCCCTGTATTTTGATATTTTTTGTAGTTTTAAAGTCCCCCCCCATTATTATTATTATTATGGAATTTTCTTTTGTAATTTTGGTTGTCTATATTTATATGTATTTGTTTAAAGCAAAATAAAAGTATTTAATAAAATAAAAACAGGTGTAAGTTTGTAACACAGGACTGTCCTATTTATAAATAGCAGATACAAGTGCCTCTCACCATACCCTTTCAGATTCTAAATGCATTTCTCCAAATGTGCTAAGTAATTTTAATTTTTTTCAACCCTTGCATTGTGATCCATCTCCAAGAAATAGTTTCTGGTAGGTTTAAGGGCTAAACTAGACGATATGCAGGGAATCTGCCTGTCTCGATGAAATTGGAAGCTTAAAATTTGCTGCTCTCTTTCAGCTTGCTCTGGAGAAGTATGAAGAAATGTTCCCGGCCTTCTCAGATTCAAGGGAGTGTAAACTATTGAAAGTAGGTGAAACTACATGTGTTTGAACGGGTTAAAAATAGAAAAGCGTTGCTGGATTTCCTCTTGTAGCACTCTAATTGTCACATGGAGATTGCCAGATTCCCAGCGTGTGAATAAAGGAGATACGAAGCCTGCAAACAGAGGGAAAGAATGGCAATTGCCATATACCGTATTTTTCGCTCTATAGGACGCACCCGACCATAGGACACACCTTGTTTTAGAGGGGGAGAACAAGAAAAAAACAATTCTCCCCCTCTCTGCTCAGCGCCCCTTCAGCGAAGCGGCAGGAGAAACGGAGCCCCTTCCATTTCTCCTCCTGCTTCACTGAAGGGGCGCTGTGCAGCTCTACCTCTCTGCTGAAGCCAGGAGAGTCTTGCTCTCCCGGCTTCAGCAAAAGGAACCCAAAGCCTTTAGAGCGCAGCGCGAGTTCCCGCTGCGCTCCAAAGGCTTCAGGCGGCTATCCCTGAAGCCTGGAGAGCGAGAGGGGTCGGTGTGCACCGACCCCTCTCGCTCTCCAGGCTTCAGCGAAAGCAACGCGTAGCCTCTGGAGCGCGGAGGGAGTGCTCCCTCTGCGCTTCGGAGGCTTAGTGTTGCTATCGCTGAAGCCAAGGAGCCTGCATTCACTCCATAGGACGCACACACATTTCCCCTTCATTTTTGGAGGGGGGAAAGTGTGTCCTACAGAGCGAAAAATACGGTACGTATAATCTCTTTTGGTGGGATTTGAAGATGTGCTGCACAAGATGTGTTGTTAATAAGTGATAATCAGGGTGGGAGGGGGTGCAAATGCCATTGAACTACAACTCCCACCATTACTGACCATCGGCCAGGCTGGCTGGGGCTGATGGGAGTTGTAGTCCCATTTTTGATCTGGCAGGCTAAAGATTCCCCACCCCAGCCTCAGAAAGAGGGAAGGGGGTCTGTGTTTCTCCTCCTCCTCACTTCTGTGCTTCCTTTGGCTCTGGAGAAGCTCCGGAGATCTTTCCTCCTCACTCCTTTTGAATAAACCTACCACATTTGCTAGCCTCAAAAATGGTTTTGCTAGCCTACTAGGGACTTCTTCCAGTGGCCTGCAACATTTCTGTGCTGGGTGCAAAGAAGGGGCTTCCCTTCCATGCCTGCTTGTTTTCTATGGCTTCAAGGGCTTAAATAGTAGGCCTTGTAAACAGATCTCCAAGCTACATTCATTTCCTCTTCCACTCTGATACTCACAAGTAGGCCTTTGTTTATCAGTGTGGCGGTCGTACGGAGCCCCCGGTCGTCTCACGGACTATTGACCCGTACACCACTAATCCGCTGCCACCAACCAGGTCCTCCCTGGTAAAATCCCTTCAGCCTCAGTCAGGTTCTCAATTAATAAAGAAGAGTGTATTTGATTTCAGACACAAACAAAACTTTTGCAGCATTCCAGACGTTGTTGCTCTTTACTTTCTTAGTCTTATTTTCCTCTCTCTATCTCTTCTACCTCCCCTCACTCAAGAACCCACTGCCCTAACTGTCTCTCTATTACCAACTGCCTACCAACTGCTTCTCTAACTGCCTTTCCTAACCAGTCAACCCACTAAAACCAACCAACTACCCCAACAACAACTCACTCAAACCTCGGGCTAAGCCCTCTTATACACAGATAGGCTCCGCCTCTGCCTTTCCTATTGGTCTATATTTTTAACCCTATCTCTCCCCCCTGTTCAAACATTTTCTAAATGAACAGGCAAACGCCACAATCAGTATGCCCTTTCCAAGCTTATTATAGACTCTGCTTCTGATCGGGGTACCACTTCAGCCCACATTTTTGATAGTCTTCTTCCCTTCTTCCCTTCATCCCTTGACTTTCCCCCCAACATCATCTTTCTGAGCCACATCTCAGTGGAAGAGAATATGTTTTGCATGCAGAAGGTTTTGAGGTTCAGTTCCGGGAATTTCCAGGTAGGCTGGGAAAGACTCGTGTCTGAAACCTTGGAGGAGGCACTCTGAGCAGGACTAGAGATGTGAAGGTCTAGAAAGAAGAAATTATAATTTTGGGAAATACAGGGACAGAACTACTCAAACTGCATAGAAATTTATTCATCTATGCGACTACGGCAGCAAGAATGTTATTTGCCCCCAAATGGAAAGAAGTCCCGACGAAAGAAGAATGGATACAAAAACTTATGGAATATGCAGAAATGGCAAAACTTACTGGAAAAATAAGAAATCAAGCTGACAAACTTTTTTATAAAAGAATGGAAATGGTTCATTGAATATTTACAAACTGTAAACAGATAAGTTGGTGGGATTATTGTAATAACCTGCAGCTTGATAAGAGTGTACATTAAAGGTAGATGAATAAATGAATAAGTTAATTTGGAATATGCAGAAAATATAAAAAATAAATTTAAGGAACCGCAGAAAGAGGGGGGAAGGAAGTCGAGCATCGAAATGTTAAATTGAGTGTAAAATTATTGAAATGTATAAAATTGAAAATCATAATTAAAATTTTAAAAAACAAAAAACTGGGAAGGACACAATTCTCCCTCCCCCCATATTTCCATCTTCCCCCTATTTGTTTCTGGAAAATTGAGGGGGGGGGAAATACTTGGATTTTTTTCCTTTCAAATTTTCTGGGTTTCCCCCAAGGCCTTTACATTTGTAGTTGGTACTGTGCTAGATCACCCAAAGTTCTGATGCAGAACAAGACAGCTTTCTTTCCCTGACATAGATAGACCTAGTTCCTAGGGATGGGGACCACAGCGCCATGTAAATATTTTCTGACACTTCAACTCCCCACATGTCTCTGCCTGACTATGAGGTCATAATCACTGTGATGATGGTTGCTTATGCAGGCACCCCATCCAGCCCTTCAAATCCAGCATAGTCCTGGGATAAACAGCTTTGTATATAACAGTGGTACCTCAGGTTACATATGCTTCAGGTTACATACGCTTCAGGTTACAGACTCCACTAACCCAGAAATAGTGTTTCAGGTTAAGAACTTTGCTTCAGGATGAGAACAGAAATTGTGCTCTGGAGGCATGGCAGCAGCAGGAGGCCCCATTAGCTAAAGTGGTGCTTCAGGTTAAGAACAGTTTCAGGTTAAGTACGGACCTCCGGAACGAATTAAGTACTTAACCCGAGGTACCACTGTAACAGGTTATTGCTAAATTGAAGGGATACATTACCTGGTAGTTTTTAAAACGCCTTCAAGTTGCGAAAGGCCTCTTTCAGTTTTACAGAGCACAAACAGGGTTACTTAACAAGTCCGTCTTCCTTGAGAGATGCAGTAACATTGTCACTTCTTGTGTTTAATCTGTTCATGTCGTCCTGCTAGAAATTACTGGAAGCTCACGAGGAACAAAACTGTGAAGCTTACACTGAAGCGGTAAGTCGACTTCTGTTTTACTTGGACACGGGGCAGGTTTCATAGGGCCAACTTTTTAAAAAAAGTAAAATAGCCAGCACTGTTGTAACCACAGCGCATTCGAAGCAACAGAGACACAGAGTTGGTTCCAGATTAACAGTACAATCTTAGGCGGTCACTTCCGTTACCTACACACCATACATTTAAAGCACACGGCTTTTCACCAGAGTACCCTGGGAACTGTAGCTTGTTAAGGGTGCTGGAAATTATAGCTCTCTGAGGTGTAAACTACAGCTCTGGGGGGAGCAGTGCTCTTTTAAATGTATTGTGTGGGTGTTCAGTGGAGTGCATTTTCAGGCACCGTATTTTTCTCTCTATAAGACGCACCAGACCATAAGATGCACCAAGTTTTTGGAAGAGGAAAACAAGGGGGGGGGGAATTCTGAATCCCATAAGGCATGACAGCAAGCGGGATCACTGTGCAGCGATCCCACTTGCTGTCCTGGTTTATGGGATAGCCGCATAGCCTCTCCTAGGCAGGGGGAGCCTTCATCCCCCTGCCCAGGAGAGGCTGCATGCGGCTAAGGCTGCCCCAAGAGCCGCACTCCCTTTAAAGAGTACGCAGAGTGTGTGTGCAACTCTTGGGGGCTTTTCCCCAAGGAGGGAGAAGAGCTGCCCTTCTCCCTCCTCGGGGAAAAGCCCCCAAGAGTCGCATACACACTCCACGCGGCTCTTTAAAGGGAGCGCTGAGCAAAGTCTCCCGCCTGCATTCGCTCCATAAGACACACACACATTTCCCTTTACTTTTTAGGAGGGGAAAAGTGCGTCTTATAGAGCGAAAAATACGGTAATTGTATAGCAGACATGTCCAACGCGTTGATTGCGATCGACTGGTCAGTCGCTGGATTGATTTCTGTCGATCACAGGCCGGGAGAGAAAAGCCTTCTGCCCACCCCCACAAGCCCAGCTCCTCTCCAAGCATGCTCCTTGCCAGCCAGAATGGCGATGGTTCCAAAGTTGGGCATGAAAGACGCAGGCACACAACAAAGGCAGAAGGAGAAGCGAATGGGCGCAAGGTGAGAGCAGGGAGGCGCAGACGTACACAGACGGAGACGCTAGGCGCGCTGGCTCCTTGGAGAGAGAAAGGCCTGATTTGGGTTTACTCAAAAGGAAGGGGTTGGTTGGATCCTGGAGAAAGGGCTTCTACAGATTTCGCCCAGTTCTTAAGGTGGTTGTGCTGGCCCCGGGGGGAAGGTTACTGTTATCGTAGTCAAAGTTCAGTCCTGAGTCACTAGCCTGGAAATAGTTCACAAGGTGCGGGGCGAGGTCCGAAGCAGGAAGCCGGGCGGGGACAGGAACACTCGAAGATCAGAAGCAGGAAGCCGGGCGGGGAACAGGAACGCTGGAAGGTCAGAAGCAGGAAGCCGGGCGGGGAACAGGAACACTGGAAGATCAGGTCTGGGTCCGGGTATGCACAGGTACTCAACAACGACGTTGCTCCCGCAACCTGGGACCGGGCTGACTGGCCTTTATCTTCTCTAAGGCCAGGGGCGGTCCCGGCCCCCAGGAGCCCCGCCTCTCCTGGCCTTAAGGCGAGCACTCCTCCTGGGAGAAACCAGTTCCCTTCGCCTCTCTGCCCTGAGCCTCTGCAGTTCAGGAGAGGCTGAAGGGTTACTGGGCCCCGGGGGAGACTCACCTGTAGACACTGAGTCCTCAACCACCTCTGGGGCCAGAATGGATTCACCTGGTGCCTGCTCCTGAGGATCCGGCACAGGCGCAGGCTCCTCAGAATCAAGGCCCTGCCCCAGTTCAGCCGGCCCTGGAGGCAGGGACTCCCATGCCGGCTGGGATTCCTCCGGTTCACTTTCTGAATCAGAATCCCAGGCCATCACAGTGGTGCTTGAAGGCTGCCAACTCTGCAGTTGAGTTTACCCAATTTCTCTTTCAAACTACGGGGGAAACCGCTGTGGTTGACATGTGCCCCTGACTCATTTGAAAAACAGCAAGAGTCCTGGGGTACTTTAAAGACTTAACACATCTATTATGGCACAAGCTTTTGTGAACCACAGTCTGTGCATCATGTTCTGATTATGGAGGTCCCTGTCCTTAATGTTATTTTCTTTAAGTATTATAGAAACACACAATTGCAAGTATACAAAACAGGTATTTTTAAAAAATATATTGATTTATAACGAACTTTTCAGGTTTTATGGAAGCGACTATCATTTGTTATTATTTTTATCATAAGCTCAGCCAAATAGAAGATGCTTAAGTTGAAGAATGACAATGGGAGAGTGTGGTACAGTAGATCACTGCCAGCTTTTGATACTGGATAGTAGATCACAGCCTACTTGAAGTTGGCCATGCCTGTTGTATAGAATTAGTTCATTGAATCAGTGGGACTTGAGCTGAGTCATGACTGATTTGTAATCTGTTCCAATCTATGTGTCTTTTAAAACATGGAAGCCCATTCACTTGCCTGCATGGAATTCTTCATTGCAGGTGCATACAGACAAGTGCTTAAATACAAGGTTGCAAGGAAGCCGGCCACATTTTTGCTCCCTGTCTTAAAGGGAGGCATGGCGCGCTGTGCTTCCTCTTTCCCAATTTTTAGACTCTCCAAAGCTATACTTGCACATGGGCCACTTACACTGTGCAGTTGTTTTATAGTTGAAAAGAGTTAGTTTCTCATATCTATTTATGATTTGTTAGTGAGCAAAAGACCAAAACAACGTTGATTTGTATCCAATGAAGTCATCTCAGTGGCCCAAGGAAGCACACTCCCCTCAAATCTAGTCCCCCAAATCTGATTTGGGGGGGCATGAGGGGAAAGGAAGTCCTGTTGCACAGATGGAAGTTCTTGTGCCCCGCCCCCACTGCCTCACAGGATGGATTCACAGAACCCGTATATTTTTCTTTTGGGTCATATTCTGAAAACACCGTATTTTCGCTCTATAAGACACATCAGACAATAAGACGCACCCGCTTATAAGACGATCCCGCTGGCTGTCTTGGCTTCGCCGCGGGCAGCCTCTCCTGGGCTGGGGAGGCTGTGCGTGGCCAAGCAAGAGCTTGTCCGGGCTGGAGGGGGAAGCCCCCGCTGCTCTGCCGGCACCCTGAGTTCCCCCCGCCAGCCCCAAAGAGCAGCTCAGGAGCGTGCCGCACTCCGGCAGTTTAGCTCCAGGGACCACACATTCACTCCGTAAGATGCACAGACATTTCCCCTTAGTTTTTAAGAGGAAAAAAGTGTCTTATGGAGCGAAAAATACGGTAATTGAAAACAATATGTGCACTTTGTCTTTATCAAGTGGTACCTTGGAAATTGAATGGAATCCGTTCCGGAATCCGTTCGACTTCCAAAACGTTTGGAAAGCAAGGTGAGGCTTCCGATTGGCTGCAGGAAGCTCCTGCAGCCAATCGGAAGCCGCGTCGGACGTTCGGGTTCCAAAGAACATTTGCAAACCGGTACACTCACTTCTGGGTTTGCAGCGTTTGGGAGCCAAAACGTTTGACCTGCAAGGCGTTCGGGATCCAAGGTACAACTGTACTCGCTTTTCTAACCGGTTATGTTACCCTCTTCCAATTAGGTTAAGGAGTTTGATTCAATATCTCGCTTGGATCAGTGGCTGACGACCATGTTGCTTCGCATTAAGAAATCCATTCAGGAAGACACTGACGGGGACCTCAAGTGAATTGTCAGTACAATTTGTGGCACGTGACATGTCTGCTGAAGTATACTGTGTTGTGGCCAAGGACCATTATGGGATACTTGGATCTATGCTTCTAGCTTAACTGACTGGTGTCTTGTTTAGTACCCTGTTGTGGCTCGTTCGGTGTAACTATGGACATGAACTATATATATTTTCAAGCCCTCGTGTTTTTGTTTTCCTTCTAAATGCGGCCTGATCTATGCATATTTACTTGCAAGTAAGACCCTCTGAGATCAGCATTCCCCGCATCACTGTCCATAGGATTGCTGCCTTACAGTGCAAGGAAATCTTTACTTAGAAGGAAGCCCCCTGTGTTCAATTGGACTTTCTCTCTCGACTTATTCATTGTGTCTTATAAATCCAGTCTGTTGACATGAAATGCTAGCCAACCTGAAATTTAGGCACACTTACTGTGAGTCTCCCTCCAAGAGTATGGTTATTTTTGGACAAATGAGTTCATCAACTAAAATTTATTTGGGCCCTTCAGAGATTTCTCTTGCATTAATAGACACATATTATATCAAATTGTGTTGTTTTAAGTGTGATTTCCATTCCTGCTTAGGAAATGTGGCCGAGTCACAAACGCTGAGATGACAAAATCTGTGATCCCTGCCTAATGCAATCCTATTCCTGTTGAGTCAAGTCCCATCGGCTTCCGTGGGGTTTACTGCTTTGTAAGTACATGCAGGGATCCAAACTGTATCTATATTAAGCTTCCTCCGGCTCAAAAACAAGCAAGAGTATGAACCATCTGGAATGCAAATTTGACCTTAGCCGAAATGATTACACGACTTACAGGGGGAACGTCTGTCTATCTGGACGACATGAATGAATCGGAAGGGTTTCTTCTAAATGTTAGTTACATAATTTGCGACTACTGACGGTGGTGCAATTCTCGACGCGTTTGCCCTGCTCTTTCCTTGCTTCTTCCTGCTTGACCCATTATGATCAGCAGCGCTGATGCAATCCACGCGCATCGGTAGTCTGAAAAGATCTGAACATAAGCAGAGATGGTGATACAGTTCTGGCTTTCACACAAACCTATGTGTGTTGGAGGTACCCTGTGGAAGTTTCAGTCAGGGTGGTTGTGAATATGTGGGGTCCAGAAACGTAAACACTATGAGTCACTTCAAAAGGGGGGGGAAGGGGGGTGAATACTACCATTTTTTAAAGTGACTAACAAGCAGATCCCCCCCCCCTTTCTGTGGCGACATTTTCTTTTCCAAACTGGGAGCTTCTACACCAGGCATAGGCAAACTCGGCCCTCCAAATGTTTTGGGACTACAACTCCCATCACCCCTAGCTAACAGGACCAGTGTTCAGGGATGATGGGAGTTGTAGTCCCAAAACATCTGGAGGGCCGAGTTTGCCTATGCCTGTTCTACACCTTTGATCCATGAGAGTGTATATATTGTTTATGACACACCGGTAGTCATAAACCAGCTGTATTTTAGACTGCTCTTTCAGGAGGGTGTGCATGTGCGTGTGTGTGAAATTGTGAGTTCTGGTGCGTTTTCAGTCGTGCTGGTGGAAAGCCTGTGGTTTTTTCTATATGCCGTGTGCATATGTGTGTCTCTGGGCGTGTGCTTTGTAGCATGTTGAACTACCAAAATAAAAAAAATCAAGGTTGAAAAATGCTGTCAGCCTTTCCATAGCAGAAGAGCTAGTGTGCTTTTCCAGAGCTGCTCTATAGGTGCAGCTGAATAAAGGGAATGGCATGATTGAATGGGCTTACGGTTGCAGGTAGGGGTGGGGTTTCCCACTGTATAAATTCTCTGCAAGCAAGGTGTGCTAGCCAACAGCCTGGGTTAGAATCTTCCTGCCTGCTGGGCTAGGGTTAAAAATAAATAAAATAAATGGCACCCCCGATCACCTGCAGTGCAGAGGGATGCAGTCTACTCTTACTTGTCTCATTCTGCCCAAAGCTTGCTGTATATTTTGCAAAGAGTGTGTGTGTGTACATATAGCCTTAGTAATTTGCTACTGGCCTACTTTAGCAGTTCAGCTATCAGTTGACCTGTTCAAAAGAGTTCATTGCCACTGACTTTCCCATTAACTGCTACCCTCCTGCTGGGTTGGTTCCAGGCTAGGTTCGTAGAACTTCCTTCCCATTGAAGGACTCGATTGAATAAAGACTTGACTTTTTACCTGGATTTCAGGGAGACTTTAGCGCAACCAGCCTGGTCTGGATCCAACCCGCTGTGTCTTTCTGCTGGGAAACGGCAGCAAGCTTTTGCCAGATGGCCTTTTGTGGAATGCAGGCGTGGATCAGCGGTTGCAGGGGGTCAGTGCCGAGTAGCTGATGGCGAGAGGAGAGAGAGGCTCCTATCTAGGTGGGAAATGAACAAGTGTTTTTTGCAAAGGCTATGCATGGTTGTGCAAATACTATATCCATGGTCTGGCTATGGTAGGAGTGGAGGACCTGTGGCCCTGCAAGTGCTGTTGAACTCCAGCTATCCGTCATCTCTGATCATTGGCTGTGTACCAACATCTGGAAGAATCACATTTCCTATTCCTAGTCTTGAGGTATGTGATGTAGCAACCTGTTGAGCTTTTTTTTTTTTTGGGCAAAGTTGTTGAGATTTGGGCTGGCGAGCGGTGGAGGCAGAGTTGCTGAGCTTTTGTCCGCAAAATCCCCAAAAATATTTTTACCTTTTGGGGGGGGGAGGGGAACGCCAAAAAAACAATACTTGGGATATGAAACGCGGAGACGCCATTTTCAACAGTCGAACATCAGCTATGTCCAGGAAATTCCAGGTGTATGGCAGCCCTGAGTTAAGGTTTGGAGCGAGTCAGTGCCCAGGTGGGGTTCCCTCCTCACAGAAAGACCAGCTGTAAATGTAATAAAATATATATGTAGATTTCTATTTTTCTTCCTCAGACAGACCTAATTGTTCTTTAAATTGTGGCACACCCCTTTTTAATCATGTCTCCGAAAACCACACTTTTCCGCCTCTACAGGCTTCTGTGTGCAGGCACTGAACCATCATTTGTCTGTGTTGTGTTACTTGTTCAAATGTGCTTCTTCCGGTCCTTGTAAGAGGTTACGGTATTACCGCAAGACACACAAACCCCACACTAGTCTTGTTGTCGTCTGTGGGGCTTACTTTAAGTAAATGGCTCTCGTTCTGTGTGGGTAATATGCACACAAAAGCAAGTTCCTCTGACTATTCGGTGCAGATCAAAACACTGCCACACGAGGAACCTTCTTGTCCCTGTCCCCATCCACACCCCATGGCTTCCCACGCTGCCTGTGCATTTAGTCAACAATCACATGGTTGGTGTAGCCAATTTTGTAGTGTCAGTCACTGGTTGGGGGGCCAGTGGAGAGGACTGCAGCTCCAACCCCTTCTCCCCAGCCTGTGACTGATGCTAAGCACATCAATTGTCTGCCTGATGGTGTGCAGAGAATTGACTCTTGGCACCAGCCCAGCTTTCCAGGCTCGTGGTTTTCAGCTGCAGCTTCCTCTGTCTAGCTTAAGAAATGTTTCAAACGAAATTCCCCTCTGTAGCTTTAATCATCACAGACTACCCGCGATGGTAAGGAGCTATTTCCGATTTCCCTGTATGTAAACATAGACCAATGGCCACCGTATGTTCATACGTACTATTGTGGTTTAGGAATCTATGAAACTATAGTGAATGTGTAACAGAAGATTCATTCATCACTGATGTTGTAGAGGCACTGTAGGGTTGCTTTGTTTTGTAACAAGATGCGGAGAAATGACAAAGCTTTGTCTTGTCTTTGCACTTGACTCAACAGCTGGAAAATACTACCATAATGGCTGCAGCCACCAGGGGCCTGGGTTTGGTCCTTAACTGACAGGGGCTGTGGCTGGATATGAGGCTTTCGGCTTTCTGCGTTGCTATTTTATCATGAGAATTGTCATTAAAGAGTGTGTTGCCCACTGTAACAACAAAATGTGTGTGTTTTTATTCAGCCCCAACACCTGCCCAGTGAGTTTTCACCAAGGGCTACAAAACAAAAAAGATTTATGTCCTTTATATCAGGGTTGGTAAACCTGTACCCACCTCCATTTACATTATAGAAGTTAGCTTTGGCCATCTGAAGTGTGATGTTTGTGACAGACTTTTTTAAGGTAAAGGACCCCTGGACGGTTAAGTGCAGTCAAAGGTGACTATGGGGTTGCGGCGCTCATCTTGCTTTCAGTACAAAGGGGCCAGCGTTTGTCCACAGCTTCCGGGTCATGAGGCCAGCATGATTAAACTGGTGCAATGGGACACTGTGACAGAAGCCAGAGAGCATGGAAACACCATTTACCTTCCCGCCGCAGTGGTACCGATTTATCTACTTGCACTGGTGTGCTTTCAGACTGCTAGGTTGGCAGGAGCTGGGACAGAGCAATGGGAGCTCACCCCATCGCGATGCTTGAATGGGTAAGACTTTGTAGAACTGGTACAGATGTTTAGGATTACTCTTCAACCTTTACAAACTTTTCCAGTTGATGACACACTTTTTGGACATGCATCATTTCATGACACAGTAATTCAGTTTTACTAGCAAACTGGAGGTTAAACTAGGCCCTTACCAGCCCTGGGAGGAGCTTGAGGAGTGTTTGTGCAACACACCTACACATGCAGCCAACACACTAACGTGTCGCGACACACAGTTTGGAAAGCTCTGCAGTTTAGCTAATCCATGTTGATGTTTCATCCTGGTTTTGCGCACCTATATATGCTGCGTTATGTATTTATGTATCTTAATGGGGCTGAAATAAATCAGTTAAATACGAACCTTATTCTGCACACACATTACTGTGATCCAGAGGAGTGAGCAGAGATATCATGATAGAACTCTGCAGTCTTCAAGTAAAGTGTGTTTTCTCTCCCCAAAAGAGTCACAACAAAGACAGTACTATTTGAAAAAAATCTTTTAATGGGGTTTACCAGTTCATACAAGTGAACCCACTTTCACATCTCTGGAGAGTAAAAATAAAAATCCCAACCTATATTTACTAACATAAGGATTTAAATATTTACTACAAATTCTTTTGTAATTGGTCGTTAAAATTCTAACATCAAAATGGAGCACATGGATTACAAAATAAATATTTAAATATAAGCTCTTCCAGTCTTTCTAAAAAAGACCCCTTTTAGTGAATTAAAATAAACAAGGAGTAAATGGTAAAAAAACTCCTACTAAGGGGTTTTACAAACAAAACAAAACTGATACATAGTTGGACTGATCTTTTATTGCATTGCCTTTCAACAAGTAAAATATGAAAGCAGGATCCTAAGTTACCTGTTTGTGATACCTGTACCAAAGTTAGCCTGGATGTTTTCCCCCTCTGAGTGATTTTGAACAAAAACCATTCATTTTTTTTAATGAAAAAAGCTTTAGAAAAGGCCAAGCGTGAACCCAGAGTAAAACTTTGCTAAAACATACAGCAACGTGAAAAGGATCAGATCTTTTGCAGGTGTAAATCAGCCTTGAAGAGTAAGTGACCCAAAGCACGTTACACTGACAAACTGAGTCCATCATTACCTTGAGAAAATAATTTGCTGTTGCATACTTGGATTACTTTTCTGAAACAAGTCTCTTCCTTTGGAAATAACAGTACTTTGTCACTGCTAGTATTGTGAATGGGTGGAGGGCCAATCCTACAGGTAAGTCAGAGCAGGGAATAACATGACTTAAAAGGATCTGTTAAGCTCAGGCTTAATTTACCATTGCAATCACTTCTTGAAAAGGAAAAATGCATCAAAATGAATCCATAAAGAGAGTGAAATCACAGCAGTTTGAAAGAAGTAGTTAACATTCTCAGTTGTGTTTTATAAAACCAGGTCCGGTTAAAACACTGTCTAAGCTAAAACACACTGAACTTGATTTTATCTCAGGACACAAAGAGTGGTTGAAAAACTGATCCCATTAGCCAGTGCTTTAACGGGCTGGGTGACATATTCAATAAATTACAATTACTCCTAACAGTTGCACTAGCAAGTTCTGCTGGAATCCAGTGGAATGTCAGAACTTAATTAAGTTTTGGATTTGGCACTTCATTTTTCCTGAATTTAAAAGTAGGAAGGCACAGTATTGATGTGTTTTTAGCAAAAACAAATTAATTCTTCACTTCCTTCAACCCTATGACAAAACATTTTAAAAGAAACGTGCATTTCTTAAAATTTTGGCAGTTGCTTTGCTTTGACTTCCAACTATGTCCGCTAACTCTCTTTTCATGCAACACATTTTGCAAAACCTTTAGAAGCTGAACTTGGAAATCTCAATGAGCTTTTAAATGGCTGCTAGCCATTACTCTGAATGCCAGTTCAGGTTATAATTTTAATTTTCCAGTACATTCTGTAGCCTTTGGGAAAAAAACATTATAGCAAGTACAAAAACAAGAAGCGTACTCACCCAGATAATGAAACCGTTGCCAGAAACCTGAACATAGAATATTTTACCAGCTGTAGCACAAAGAGGAAGAGGACTGGGGAGCCACAACAGGTGACCTGCAGTCCCGCATTCATTACTTTGGAGCAATTTGTTTTAGAAGTATGCTGCCAATAAATTTATAAAGTGGCAGAACTCCTTGTCTCGTGGCCAGCACACAACCTCCATATGTGGGGCACTGGGATCACAAGAGGCTGGGAAGAATACTAAGGTCCTCTGGGCAAAGAAGAGAAATTTAGAAATGCAACACTTTGTGAACGTCCTATCTGTACAGAGAATGTATGGAAATGAGGGTATATCTATAACAGAAGCTGAAGATGCACATGTGGCTTTGGGTGTGTGTGCATATGACAGAATAGACTGGTGAGACCATTAAAAGGCAGCGAGTTTGTAGGTGGGACTGAGGAGACAGGAAGGAGTACAGAGAAAAGGTTCACCAGGTACTTAGGAGGAAGGTTGGACCATAGAGTAACTTTAAAAAGCTTGTGAAATCCCTCCACAAATTCTGAACAAAATCCAGCAACGCTACTCTGAAATCCACTTCCAAGTTGTGTAGAACAATCTATCTGATGTACGGATTTAGCATATGAACTGAAGTGGAGCTCCAGCACTTTTACCAACCTGGTTTTCCAAACATTTCTCAAAATAACTTATTCAAGAGCTTGAAAGAGCAGGGTCAGGCATGCCCCAATGTTTAAAAACACAGCACCCGCAATTCATTAAAACTGCATTTCATATTGGGCCCAGAGAGATTGCGCTACACGATCTCACGTTCGTTTCCGTACAATGTAAAATCAGTGTCGATTAAGAGATTTTAAACAACACCAGCACAGAACGAGTCTCCTTTCAGAGGGAAAACAATCTCTCCAAAGAAACCATTCTGCTGAAGGAAAGGAAAAATCTGGATTAAAACTTCGCTTTTTTGCACTGACTCTGTAATCTGAAAGCTACTTCAAAATTACAGAGACGGCATACGAAAGAGAGAATAATTTTCTCTTTAACAAATGGGATGAGAGAGAATCCTTCAGTTGAAAGACAACTCGAGACGTAATGGTTTTGAGAGAATCCAGGATATTAAGATCATCCATAGTAATCCTTTCTTCTTTACATGGATCATGGATACTGTGTACTACAGTATTTCAGAGATTATCCCCAGCTGGAGTTTCCTTCTTTGTAGCAAGTGCTATTCTATAGTCACCAAGGTGTAAAGTGGAGGCTGAAATGAGTCAGTCTGGGTGTGCAACACTGTGAGATCATGCAAAGTTGTAGCTACGGCGGTTTCCGGAGACCCTGCAGCGCCCTTTGATTTGCAGTCTGTCACTGCGGATGTTCCATTTTCATGCAGCGCAGTCATATTTCCTTGGATAGCCGTCAGACCCTGATAGTGCCCGTTTTCAGAGAACGACAGCAGCTTCTCGGATATTTTGGAACGAGCCACGTTATAGTCTGCCTCTGTTTTATGATCCTCATCATTCTTAGACGCTCCTTCAACAACCACAAGGAAAGACTTCCAAGGTGTGTTTTTATCATGAATCTGGGGGGGGGGGGACCACAAACATGCAAAATTCACCACTGGCACACATTACAGTCTACAGCAACGTCAATTTGCTCTGAATACGGATTCTTCTTCCTCTTATTTATTTAATTTCAATACCGCCCTATACCCAAAGGTCTCAGGGCGGTTCACATAAAATATCAAATACATAAAATCAAAACAACAACCATAACCCAATAACCCTCCCCCCCAAAAAGAGCCAGCATTTTAAAAAAAGGTATAAGATGTAGAATCATGGGTAGACAAACTAAGGCCCAGGGGCCGGATCCGGCCCAATCGCCTTCTAAATCTGGCCCATGGACAGTCCGAGCAACAGTGTGTTTTTAGATGAGTAGAATGTGTGCTTTTATTTAAAATGCATCTCTGGGTTATTTGTGGGGCATAGGATTTTGTTCATTTCCCCCCTCCCCCAAATATAGTCCGGCACCCCACAAGGTCTGAAGGACAGTGGACCGGCCCCCTGCTGAAAAAGTTTGCTGACCCTTGATGTAGATCAAGCCAGGCAAAGGACTGGTTAAAAAGCAACATTTTTTGTCTGGCACCTAAAGATGTATAGTGAAGGCACCAGGCAAACCTCCCTGAGAAGAGCATTCCACAGATGGGGAGCCACTGCAGAGAAGGCCCGTTTTCATGCTGCCACCCTCCAAACCTCTCAAGGAGGCACACGAAGAAGGGCCTCAGAAGATGATCTCAGGGTCTGGGTAGGTTCATATGGAAAGAGGCGGTCCCTGAGGTATTGCGGTCCTGAGCCGCTTCTCAAACTGCTGTCTAAGCATTCAGAGCCCACACTGCACAGGACTCGGGCAGGGAGGCAGCTGCCTCTGCAACTCCAACAAAGTTGGGAGGCATTTCAGACTTATTTTATTTTTATTTTATCTAAAACTGCACATGCCATTTCTTGGTCTGCTATAGCATTATAGGACTCTTGCAAGTTCATATTCAGCAATGAGGGGAAACCCAGCCAATGGGCGGGGTACAAATAAATTATTATAATTATAAATTATTATTATTACTATTATTATTATTACTACTACTAGCTCCAACAACCTAAACCTGTTTCTCTTATAAACAATGTCTGGGAGCAATTAAAATGTAGGTAGAATAGAGGATGTAGCCCTTGCAAGTTATGAAGTAGTGAGGGAATTTTTTAAAAAAACCACAAGTACAAGAAGAGTTTATAATAAGATCAAAAATGCAAGACCAAACCTGCATTTTCTCATTACATATTAGTAACTTGTTTTCACTGTTTAATAAAGGCAAGGAACAGCTTTTGGGCTTTCTGGCTGCGCAAATTAGAGTGTACAACTGAGGCCCTAATAGGAATCATTTCCTAGCGGCTTGAGTACCATGGAAAAACTGACACGCAATGGGCAAGTACCAAGGCATGTTTAGGTATTTGCTTGAATGTGTCAATGCTGAAACTCTGCAGGGGCACAGAGGCCAAGGCATTCATGAAATCTGATTTGGTAGCCATCTCCAACACCCCATACTCAATAATTCAGTTCTTAAATGCAGGAAAATGGGAACGGCCCTAGCTTAGGATTAGCCAAAGAATTTTTCTGCTCACTCCCTATGCATAAAACAGCCAGCCACCTAAGGCTCTAATTCAGGCTTCCTCAACCTCAGCCCTCCAGATGTTTTGAGACTACAATTCCCATCATCCCCGACCACTAATCCTCTAGCTAGGGATCATGGGAGTTGTAGGCCTGGAGGGCCAAGTTTGAGGACACCTGCCCCAATTCAATGCTCCAACTTCAGGTGGAGCCATGCTATGTGGGGTTTACACAATGTATTCCATCTCTGCCAGTAACTACCACATTTACATCGGGGATAGAGAACCTCTGGCCTTCTAGGTGCTGTGGGACTCAAACCATTCACCAGCTGCAGCCAGCGTGACCCAACAGCCTGGGATGATGGGAGTTGTAGTCAGCGACATCTGGAGGGCTAAACCTGCCGCACCCTTAAGTTACGTGGCTTGTTCGGAAACAGAAAATCAAAATTTCCTTACAGAGGTGTGCCGCCGAAGAGTAGATTTGTCGGTAAATGTCCGGCCACAGGCGTTGCACATGAACGGTTTCTCCCCTGTGTGAATCCGATGATGGCGTTGCAGGGCATTGAGCTGGGTGAACTGTTTGCCACACTGATCACAACAGTAGGGACGCTCACCTATAAGCAGAGCACATGGTGACTATTGCTATTTGACTGCATGCAAAAGGGCTGCTCTTGCAGACTTTGAGAGCAACCAAGTGAAGGAAGAGGGACGCGGGTGGCACTGTGGGTTAAACCACAGAGCCTAGGACTTGCCAATCAGAAGGTCGGCGGTTCGAATCCCCGCGACGGGGTGAGCTCCCGTTGCTCAGTCCCTGCTCCTGCCAACCTAGCAGTTCAAAAGCACGTCAAAGTGCAAGTAGATACCGTATTTTTCGCTCTATAAGACGCACCAGACCACAAGACGCACCTAGTTTTTGGAGGAGGAAAACAAGAAAAAATATATTCTGAATCTTAGAAGCCAGAACAGCAAGAGGGATCGCTGCGCAGCGAAAGTAGCAATCCCTCTTGCTGTTCTGGCTTCTGGGATAGCTGCGCAGCCTGCATTTCTTCCATAAGACGCACACACATTTCCCCTTACTTTTTAGGAGGGAAAAAGTGAGTCTTATAGAGCAAAAAATACGGTAAATAGGTATCGCTCTGGCAGGAAGGTAAACAGAGTTTCCGTGCGCTGCTCTGGTTTGCCAGAAGTGGCTTAGTCATGCTGGCCACATGACCTGGAAGCTGTACACCGGCTCCCTCAGCCAATAAAGCGAGATGAGCACTGCAACCCCAGAGTCGGCCACAACTGGACCTATTGGTCAGAGGTCCCTTTAACTTTACCTTTAAGTGAAGGAAGAAAACACTAAGGAACACCTGCAAGATCTTCACCTTTGTAAGGTAAAGGTAAATGTACACCTGACCATTAGGTCCAGTCGTGGACGACTCTGGGGTTGCAGCACTCATCTTGCTTTACTGGCCGAGGGAGCCAGTGTACAGCTTCTGGGTCCTGTGGCCAGCATGACTAAGCCGCTTCTGGCGAACCAGAGCAGCGCACGGAAATGCTGTTTACCTTCCCGCTGGAGCGGCACCTATTTATCTACTTGCACTTTGATGTTCGACTTCCGAGGTACCACTGTAATTCCGTAATAACAGGTTCCAATATTTTATAGGTTAGGAAAAGCCTGGGGAAAAGATATGTCTTTAGAAGACATCGGGAACAACTGCTGCATGATGTATCACATATGGCAGAGGGATGGGCTTTCAAAAGTGCAGGGACAATGGTGGAAAATGCTCATTTTCAGGTCACCCCACCCCCGGTAATATACTCAAAGGTGCTGTGCCAAAGAGTAAAATTTCCTCAGGAAAGAATTGGGTGGGGAAGTCAAAGCTAAACACAGCAAACCAACTGGAGGAAACAGAGTTTAGTGACAAGATTACTAAAGGTGCGGAGAGTTAGCAAAGTCTCCTTAGTGATGAAACACCTGACCAAAAAACAAATCTGAGTGCAAGAGAATGACTGAGCCAGGGGGTGTATTTCAGCAGAGATCTATTATAATCCTTTCTCGAATCAGCTTTTGCCATATGTTTTATAAAACAGAATCACCAGCGAAACTAAACGTTTGTACAGTGGTACCTCAGGTTACATACGCTTCAGGTTACATACGCTTCAGGTTACAGACTCCGCTAACCCAGAAATAGTGTTTCAGGTTAAGAACTTTGCTTTAGGATAAGAACATAGGATAAGAATTGTGCGCTGGCGGCGCGGCAGCAGAAGGCCCCATTAGCTAAAGTGGTGCTTCAGGTTGGAAACAGTTTCAGGTTAAGTACGGACCTCCGGAACGAATTAAGTACTTAACCCGAGGTACCACTGTATACAGTGAACTGGTAAGAGCCCCTCTTTTTAAAGTTAAAGGGACCCCTGACCATTAGGTCCAGTCGTGACAGACTTGGGTTGCGGCGCTCATCTTGCTTTATTGGCCGAGGGAGCGGCGCACAGCTTCCGGGTTATGTGGCCAGCATGACAAGCCGCTTCTGTTGCGAACCAGAGCAGCGCACGGAAACACCGCTTTACCTTCCCGCCGGAGTCGGTACTATTTATCTACTTGGCAACTTTGACGTGCTTTCGAACTGCCTACGTTTTGCAGGAGCAGGATTTGGAATCGCCGACCTTCTGATGGGGGCAATGTCCTGGCTCTGTGCGTTCACACCCAAAATTTGCAAACAGGAGCGCTCCCGTCCCGCCCTCAGTTTGACCCTTTGGTCTTCCTACCTGTATGAACCTTTATGTGCTGATACAGTGAATTCCTTGTGCAAATGTTTCGGAAGCAAACTTCGCATTTAAATGGCTTGCGACCCTGTGTGGATTCGTTGTGGTGTTCAGATACTCCTTAGAGGCAAACTCTTCCCACACGTTTCACACATGAAAGGTCGTTCCCCTAGAGGACACAATAAAGGTGAAGCGGTTAGTTTAAGCCACTAACAATTAAGATTTGGAACAAGGCTAGGGATCGAGAGAGCCAAGGTACACTTCAACCAAACAGTGCATTGGCAGTTTTAACTCTCCTCTCACCTCTTTTTAACAGCTACTGGTCCAGCAATAATTGTCTAAGGGGATACATTGCACCAGTGCAGAATCACAGATTAAACCTGCAACAGTTTGGAGCAAAGACAGAAACTGCTCACCTGTCCCAAATTACTTGCTCTTTGGGAACAATGTGGCCAAACTCAGATGTACAGGAAATCAGACACACTGAGTGAAAGAGTACAAAGCAAAAAAAAGCAATACTTTTATACCTGTGTGGCATCTTTTATGATAGATAAGCATGTGATTCTGCGTGAATTTTGCTCCACAATCGCCACAAACAAAAGGCTTTTCACCAGTATGGATTCTGAAATGAGAAAATAATACAAATCAACACAACTACAGCACTTCATCATAGTCACTTGTTCTGCCTCTTTACTAAGCAGTAACTAGTGGTGGGCACTTTCTTTCTTGAGGTTGTCTTTGCCTATCTATGGATGGGACTCTTTCTCTCTCCCCTGGCCCCCCCCGAAAGCCAAGTGCACAGCATATGCTAGTGTATGGGGCTCCCAGCTGAACAGAAGTAGTCTCCTGCATGTTTGCTGTCTTTTGGGCCCAGCCAGCAATAATGGTAAGGCAATGGAAAGTAAGGTAAAATAGAAGCAGAACCCAAAAATTAGATGCTTTAAATTAGACTAAAACAAAAAAGCTGTAATTTTCAGATACTATTTGTACTTATTTATACTAAAGAATGTATTTTTTTCTTGTTTTGTGTAAAGCTACCTACAATCTTAGATCAACAGGAACGACAATGTATTTCCAGTAAAACTGGATCCCCCGGGGCGGGGAGAGGGATCCAAAAGTGTTTCCCTGGATCACAAATATTTTGGCTTTCAAAACCGTGTGTGCAGAGGAGAGAGAAGTTTTGCTTGTGGAAGCCTTAGAACAGTTACCTTTTGGATTTCATTCCCTCAACTTAAAACACTAACACATATAAAATTAATCACAAGCTATGTCCTTACCTGCACACCCTGTTGTTGTTTTTCCTGCTAGGACCAAACACCGCTCTATAATTGTTGATATTCCTGGCTCCTCAAGGAGGCAGCAAAATTTTTCAACATACCAAAAGATGGGCTAGAGATCACCCTCTACAAGCCCATACAGTTTTTACAAAACATACCACTAAAAATATTACTGTCGCATGATGCACGATGACAATGAACGAACTTCACCCTCCTAATCAAACATGAATTCCATCCCAAATATCTGAACTAAGAATTGAACCTCAAGTATCTAGGGGCCCTGCAAGCCCATAGTTTCTTTTCTGTGTTATATAGAGACTCCCCATCCCACAGATACACACACACAAAAGATATTTTTCAGCAGGTTCTATCTAAAAAGAAAGATAAGTCATAGGGAAGGACTCAATTCTTCACTCTGCAGGTTTCAAAAGCTGTTTCACAGTGGGGAGAATTGAAAGCAGTAAGCCCATCTAGTGAACAATAATAGAGTCAAAGAATTGAAAGTTCTTGTCTTGCAAAGAAGTGCCACTTCTACTACCGGATATTTGAGACCGCAAAGGTCCCTGTAGCTCTTTTCTTGATGATGCAGGGCACTGAAAGTAGCCCTGGCAAAGCTTCAGGAGACCTTTGGCTTTCATCAAGCCAAATATTTGCCCATGACATTGCCAGCTGAAGAGCACACACGCCGTTGAATTTTTCACGGGGCAAAATGACCCAGCAACAGCGATGAAGTTTTGCTGTCAAGCCTACCGCAAAAAGTTTCAGAAGATGAGTGGGAGAAAGAGAGGTCCTGTCTGGAACCAAAGGATTATGCTACTGTTTGTGCTCAAGTAACACCTGAAACAATGACTGCAGAATTCAATTTCAATTCTCAGAACTTGCCACCTCCCATTGAATTTGAATGCTCTATATGTGGAGGTAGAAAGCATTCAAGTTACCATTATTACTCACAAGGACTCATATCATGAACCACTGTAAAGTGTTTTATCCAAATTAGCTGGCAAAAATCAGACTGGATTGTTTGAAGTCTTTTTTGCCACTACAATTCTGAGTATCGGTATGATGAAATCAAGACTATTTTTCCCAGTTCTCCTCTAAAGGCTTCAATTTACTCTCAACTCTTTTAAAGGCAACTCAATAGGAGTCCGAGCCTGTGATTTGGTGCCATCTGCACAACAGTCTCAAACTTTTTCTTCGAAAGCAAACAGCAAACACTACCAAACATTTCACGAGTACCGTATTTTTCGCTCTATAAGATGCACTAGACCACAAGACGCACCTAGTTTTTGGAGGAGGAAAACAAGAAAAAAATTATTCTGAATCTCAGAAGCCAGAACAGCAAGAGGGATCGCTGCGCAGCGAAAGCAGCAATCCCTCTTGCTGTTCTGGCTTCTGGGATAGCTGCGCAGCCTGCATTTGCTCCATACATTTCCCTTTACTTTTTAGGAGGGAAAAAGTGAGTCTTATAGAGCAAAAAATATGGTAAACTCTACTCATAAAACCCTGCTTTCTTATTTGACCACGGGCAAGCAGCCTTGGAGGAACGCTACCTTTTCCTTTCTTTGCCCAGAGATTTAACTAATAAGGCCAGTTAAGTGTGTCCATACCTCATGTGTGTTTTAAGTGCCGAAGGCTGAGAAAACTTAGCCTCACACTCTGTGCACCCATAAGGCTTGTCGCCTGTATGTGTCCTTTCATGAAGCCGCAAGGCCGTTTTGGAGCTCAAACCCTTTCCACATTGTAGGCAGTGATGACGTTCCCCACCACCCTCATGAACCTGCAGAATGTGCCGCTTGACGTCCTTCTTCCTCTTGAACTTCTTACCACAGAGCTCGCAAGGGAAGTGGCGCTCGCTGCTGTGGACGTGGCGCTCGTGGCTTTTGAGGTTGCACCGGTTGGCAAAAGTCTGGCTGCAGGTTTCGCAACGGTAAATGACTTCGGCCGCGATCCCGTGGCTGTGCCTGATGTGCTTCAGAAAGCTCTTCTCATACAGGAACTCTCTCTCGCAGGTGCTGCAGGTGAAGTTGCCGCCACGGTTCTTTTTATCGTCCTCCAGTTTAGTCAGGTTTTCCTCCAGGTCGTCGGCGCCATCGCACCCTTTGCTTTCAGATTTCACGACGCTCACCGCTTGTCCTTTTTCCTCTTCTTCTTCATCTTTCTTCTCCTCCCCTTCCTTATGGATGCAGTGGTCTTTGGAGAGCCGACTCTCCTCGGCCACAGCCTCAGCGTACTTTTGCTGCTCTCGAAGCCGCCTCGTGTACTTTTTCTTGGGGATCTCCACAAACACCTTTCTGCCAGCCAGTCTTCCGCTGGCTCTCCTGATCTTGGCGCAGGACGTCTTCAAGGCTTCTTTCTTCTTGTCTAACTTCTCCTTTAATTTAGCGGCGGGAGCCTCAAGGCCCTCGCCGTCCCTGGGTCTGCCGAGAGGAGAATCTGCAACACGGTCCGTGTTATCCCCCGGCGTCTCAGCGACTGCCCTTGGCTCAAGCAAGCTGCCTGGCTGGGAACCGCTGTCCTCCACCGCATCCTGCGACTCGGAAAAATTCTGCAACTCCAACAACACCGATTCGAGCATCTGCTTCTTGAGCTGAAAGCAGGTTTCCGACAAGTCCAAGCACTTTAGCTTCTCGGCCATTTCCAGCATGCGTTGAACCCGGTCTTCTTCTACCTCTACCCTGGCAGTATACACAAACTCAAGAAAAGATGCAAAGTCCGCTACCTGGACCTCGTTCAATAGTACATTTGTCCTTAGTCCGTCCATGCACTTTTCATTGAGAAACACCTCTTTAAAAAACTTGCTGGTTGCCGCCAGGACAGCTTTGTGAGCAACAAAGTCTGCCTTGACCCCTTGATATTCCACGCTGACAGTCACATCACAAAGGTGTCCTAGGAGACGCAGCTGCTGCATTTCATTGAGAAGGTTGATGGGTGAGGATTTGGATTCCAAGAGAACAGCATTACTGGGCATCTTCTTCCTTTCCGAAACCTATGAAGAACATAACCGCACGTTAATTGCCTGCCGGGAAAAGGATATCAAAGGTAATGGGAAATGAATACCCTAATTATCATTTAATTGACAAAATAATCCTGCTCTGTAAAAACTATAAAGCACAAAGAACTCTCTCCATTACTGTAAGCTAGACTGTGTGGATCTAGCATTTTTCATTAATAGCAAGAGTTCAAAAATGTTGGCATAATAGGCAGGTTTTTTATTTAGTTAGTTCTATTTTATTACATATATTATACTACTTACTGTAATAAACATAAGCAGTTTACATAAAAACACGACGACCTTCAGTAATACAGTGGTACCTCGGGTTACATACGCTTCAGGTTACAGAAATCATGCAGTGACAGTGCAGCGGCAGCAGGAGGCCCCATTAGCTAAAGTGGTGCTTCAGGTTAAGAACAGTTTCAGGTTAAGAACAGACCTCCGGAATGAATTAAGTACTTAACCAGAGGTATCACTGTACAGTCAAACCTCGGTTCCCAAGCGCCTCTGTTATCGTACCTTCCAGCTCCCAAATGATGAAAACCTGGAAGTAACTGCTCTGGTTTTTGAAAGATTTTTGGAAACCGAAAGTCTGATGCTGCTTCCGTTTTGAGTTTGTCTATTGTATTGAGGCTTCTGCTTTCAGTTTTTGAACATTTCGGAAGTCAAATCGTCTTCCGAAATGGATTACATTTGACAACCAAGGTTTGACTGTATTTCTTAACTAGGCAATATCTAGCAGGGTGGGGGAAGATTTCTGCCTTTTCCAGCCAACCCTCCCCCATGTCCCTGCTAATGAAAAATAGTAATATTTTAGCCTCTTAGATATTTGGAAGGAAAGATATTCAGTTTTTTCTGATCCTTTAGCAAGGGTCCATAAATTCGGATTTTACTTGTTAGCCACTGACTCCTCGCTTTGCAGAGTTCTGCAGCCAATGCAAAGAACCCGGGGAAGTAGAGGGCGGTATTACTCTTACGCCGGGTTTCCCTTCCCCTTCCTATTGCTCTCCAGGGCAGGTGCTTCATGCAAAAACCCAACATTAAGCAGAAGAGAAAACAGCACAGCCCTCCACTGAGAATTCACTCCAAAAGGAGGGTACCTTCTATCATATGTGGCAGACCTGTCCCAAGGTGAAAGACTTCTCGGAGAAGATTTATAATGAGTTGAAAAAAATGTTGAAATATACATTTGTTAAGAAACCAGAGGCCTTTCTTCTTGGAATAGTAGGTTTGGAATTGCCCAAAAAAGATGTTAGACTGTTTTTGTATGCCACAACTCCAGCTCGAATTTTATTAGCCAAAAATGGGAAAACGCGGGAAACAGTGGAGGAATTTGCAGATGAAGATGATGGACTTTTTGGAGCTAGCCAACCTGACCGGAAGAATCCGTGACCAGGAGGAGGAGCAGGAAGAATGGAAAAAAATCAAAGACTATTTATCTAAATATGCTAAGATAAATTAAATAGAAACACTTGCAAAATAACAGATAGGCTAAGGATTTAAATATGTGAAATTTCAAAACAATATGTTTAAAGTTAAGATGAAAAGAGACAAAGATGTTAAGGAGTAAGTTAATTTTATGAGAAACTGTTTTGGAAAACTGTTACAATGATATATAATGGAATTCAGTCAAGGGAATTTGAGGAAGTCATTTAACTATGATATTAATATTGGACTAAGTTTAGTTAGGATTTGTGTTTGTTTGTTTGTTTGTTTAAAAATGTGGAAAATCAATAAAATCTTTGAAAAAAAGAAAGAAAGAGAGAATTCACTCCACTGCCTTCTCTGCAGTGGCATGCCAACCATGGAATACCCTCCCATGCGAAGGACACATAGAACCAATGCAATATTGGGTTTCAGCGCCAGGCAAAAACTTTTTTCTATGCCACGGCATTTTAGATTATTATATTTTTAGATGGTTGACTAGCTTTATCCCTCTATTTTTGCCGCATTGTTACGTCTGTGTTATTCATTTCTGGATAAAGTACAATTTATACATTTTTAATATAAAGCAATTAATGTAGGGATTTCAGACTTGCTAATCAGTTAAAAATACATTACAATCTTCTTAGTCCACTGATGCATTTTATATTTACAAATCAAGAGCACTTACTTGGGATCTCTAAATAATTAACATATAACTAATCTCTGTTCGGCAATCTTGAAGGCACTCCTGCTTAAGAATGTAAATAAGCTCATCCTATATTCTTAGCAAGGATATCAGCAAGCAATACAGATGAGCCACATTTTAACTTCTGCTCCAATACAAGCACATCCAGTAGAATGAAAAAAGCATCAATATTATGTTTCGAAGCACAGTAAAAAGCTAAATAAAGGTACAATTTAGAGCATGCAATAACTGCATGTTGTTAGCTTTTAAGATGATTTTGTGTTTTTATTGGTTTGCTGTTAGTTGTCCTGAGCAATGTAAAGGCATTAGAAGGGATGGGTATAAATCTGCTAATAAATAATAATTAAAAAAAACTTTCAGCTGAGGTTCTTATCCTTCGCTTTTAATTGACTTCATGCTTCTAGGCACCCTTTTTCAGCTGTCAGTTTTACATCGGTGTTATTGTGTCAACCACACACGCCAATTCCCTATTCAAAGAAATGACTAGGTCTTCAGTAAAGCAGCTGGTCATACCAGCAAAAGTTATCTGTAGGGTTGATATGACGCCAGCAGGATCCATCAGCTGTTGGGGGAAGAGCAGCTTAACAGGCTGGCTAACAAAGAATGAGTCACCAGTAACAAAGGAGACATCATTAATTCCCTCCCCCATCACCTCCTTCCTAACCACTGTAGAAATCATATCAATGTGTGGCCTGCTTTGCTTATTTGGCCAAAAACACTGTGGGTCAGTCATGACAGCCAAGAAGTCCTAAGATGCAGCAGTTAGGGAACTTCAGTGTTCCTGACATGGCAAAACAAGAGACATATGCAATGCACACCTTGGCTTAAGAAATAAAGCAAAGCATCTAGTAAATGCTACCTTGCACGCTGCCTTAGGAATCCACATAAATGATCAATCATGTATTTTTGTCTTTGACAATCTCAATGGCACTTTCCCCCCCTCGCTGGATAGCGGTTCTGTTGGAATATCTAGTGCACCAAACTAAGAATCAAAGATTCATTCCATCTTTATTTTGTATCCTGTGGTGGGGCGATTGCTCAAGATACTTATGCCTCCTGTAATTTTGTCCAAAGCAGTCTGGCTGTTTCTTAAAGACAAAAAATGAAGATCACAGAGCCATGTTCACACCCTGAAGGGTATGTTATTGAGACTGCACAAATGAAAGAATTGTGGCTATTAAAAGGAGGCAGAGTTTTCTCTAGATTAGTGGATCATGAGCTTATTTTTTCCATTGATCACTAGAAGGTGGGGGGTTCTCAGTTGACTGCTTAATAAACATTTTTTGTTCTATAAATCAAAGCACATACCTAACTCAGCTTGTATTTTAATAACTGTAGTCTTGCCTTTCTAATGTGATGGATAAAGAAATATAAAACATATTCCTTCAGCTACTGGTACCATAGTCAAAGCTATTATGAAAAAATCACAGGCCCTGGATCAGGGCCCTGTTTTAAAACCAGACCCTGGTCAAATGAGGGAGAAATCAGTGCAGAACCAAGTACCAATTCCCAGCTGTTCCAATTCAGTGCAGAACCAATTCCCAGCTGTTCCACAACCTTTCCACAGACCAGCTGAATAGATCTTGTAGACCACCGGAAAACTGTTTCAGCACCTCTGTTCTAGCTAAGGCAGGCTGGAGCTGACACTGATAACTACTGAAGTTGAACATACTAGCAGTGACAAAATCTGCTTATGCACAGCACAAAATTCTAACTATATCTCTTCCCCCGGAGGCCAGCATTCGAATATCTTCCCCCGCATCCGATCCTGATAGCTTCCTATTCACTACAGGATTTTCCATCCTGGCTAATGTTAGAAATTAGCCAGACACCAAATGTGTTTTGCGACTGGCACGGGTCCAACTGCAACCACGTAGAGATCTCTAGATGCCAGTCTGGCGACTGACATCTCCATCTGGCTGGGCCCTCCAGCTTTCTTAAGCAGATAAGCAGAAGAGCTTATTTGTTGCCTTTTCCTCCAAACAGTACATGCTTTGCCCTCCTCATGACTGAGTGGGGATTTGAATCCCGATCTCCCAGGTCCTAGTCTGACACTCAAACCACTACACCACACTGGCTTCCTAGAGTACTTCTGCTATGGGGCAGCCATATAAATTAAGTGGTAAATAAATATGGGGAAAGCAAAATGTCACTTAAGAGAAGGGTCTCAAATATTTTCCTTGAATTTGTTTACTCTGGATTGTTTTATCTGACGTTTCAATGTGTTGCAAACAGCTTTGAGTTTTTTTCTTTAAAACACAAAACGGTACAGAAATAAAATAATCATAACAAACTCCATCGGTGGTGGGGAAATGGCACGTAGACATACCATTGTGGCTACCGTCACCTAGATTTGAAGTGCCGTTTGGTGATTAGCTTATATACCTGAGTTTCTGGGATGCAGGTGGCGCTGTGGGTTAAATCACAGAGCCTAGGACTTGCCCATCAGACGGTCGGTGGTTCAAATCCCCGCGACAGGGTGAGCTCCCGTTGCTCGGTCCCTGCTCCTGCCAGCCTAGCAGTTCGAAAGTACATCAAAAGTGTGAGTAGATAAATAGGTACCGCTCCGGTGGGAAGGTAAATGGCGTTTCCGTGCGCTGCTCTGATTCACCAGAAGCGGCTTAGTCATGCTGACCACATGACCTGGAAGCTGTACACCGGCTCCCTCAGCCAATAAAGCGAGATGAGCACCGCAACCCCAGAGTCGTCCATGACTGGACCTAACGGTCAGGGGTACCTTTATCTATGGATGTGGTCTGGGTCTCAGGTCACGTAGCAGATAGCAAGCTTCACGGGGAATTTGAACCTATGGCTCTTTACCTTTACCTGAGTTTCTAACAGTGTTCCCACCTGACGTACAAATAGCAAAATCGATTCCCTTAGCAATATCATGCTTCGTGGTCTTTCAATTCCTGTTTTTCCTATTTTCTTAGGGGTGCATATAGAATCATAGAATCATAGAGTTGGAAGAGACCACAAGGGCCATCGAGTCCAACCCCCTGCCAAGCAGGAAACACCATCAGAGCACTATAGAATCATAGAATATAATTTTTTTCAAATCTGTAACCTGCCTTGAGTTATGCCGGGGGTGGGGGTGGGAAGCCGGGGTATAATTAAATACATGATAACTATATAAGAAAGCTGCCTTTCAAGGTGATGGATTGATTTCTAACAAAAGCTACCCCGTCTTTCCCCCTGATCCTCAGATCCCCCCCCTCCTCTTTGGGCAACACCTTACCTGGCCAAACCACCATCACCCCCCCCTTGGCTCACCTGGCCCCCACCCCCTCCCTTGCAACGCACCCTATGTTCACCCAGGGGTCGTGCCCCCAAACCCCACCCCCGGCCTCCCCACCCCCCATAGCCAAGCCCTGCCTTCAGACCCCTTTGAAGCATCCCACAGGGACGTGGTCGGTCGGTTGGGGGGTCAACACTTCACTTCCTCCCCCCTACCCCACCCCACAAGTCACCCACAAACCCACCCTCGCTCCCCAGGGGCTGTGCTGCTGCCCCCCGACCCCAGGCACGACCCCCTTCCTTCTCCCCTAGGGACCACCCCTCCCCACGCCGGCAGGAGGCCGGGTTCAAAGTCTTTCTCCACCCCCCCCCAACCCTCCCCATAGGCACCGACCTGGCCGCTCAGCGCCATCTTCCACGGCGGGTCAGGGCGACGCCGAGAGGAGGCGGAGCGAGGGGGAACGCCAGGCGGGGAGGAAGGGAAGGGGAGGCGGACGCGGTTGCCGGGGGGAAGGCTTTGCGCGGGGCACCGCGGAGGGATGAGGCGGGGACACCGCTGGTTGGTGTTCGCTCAAAAAAAAAAAAAAGGCCTTTGGAGGCCGAGATGGGGCGGAAGGAGGAGGAGGGGCAGGATTGGGGGAGGTTTGGGAAACGGAGGCAAAAGGAGAGATATTGGGGGGTGGGGGGGTTGAGAGAATAATAATAATAATAATAATAATGCAGCAAAACCTGATAAATAAAATAATGATAATGCAGCTAAAACTGATATAATACAAAATAAAATTAATAATAATAATAATCCAGTTAAAACCAATATAATAAAAATAATGATCCAGCTAAAATCAATAAACTATAATAATAATAATAATAATAATAATAATAATAATAATAATAATAATAATAATACAGCTAAACCCAATATAATATAATAATAATCCAGTTACAACCAATATAATATAATAAAAATAATAATGATCCAGCTAAAACCAATACAGTGGTACCTTGGGTTACATATGCTTCAGGTTACAGACTCTGCTAACCCAGAAATAGTACCTCGGGTTAAGAACTTTGCTTCAGGATGAGAACAGAAATTGCATGGCGGTGCAGCGGCAGTGAGAGGCCCCATTAGATAAAGTGGTGCTTCAGGTTAAGAACAGTTTCAGGTTAAGAACAGACCTCCGGAACGAATTAAGTTCTTACCCGAGGTACCACTGTAAACTACAGTGGTACCTCAGGATGCGAACGGGATCCATTCCGGAGCCCCGTTCGCATCCTGAATGAAACGTAAGACGTGATTGCGCGTGCGCGGGTCGCGTTTTGCTGCTTCCGCGCACGTGCGTGATGTCATTTTGAGCGTCTGCACATGCGCAAGCGGCAAAACCCAGAAGTAATGCGCTCTGTTACTTCCAGGTTGCCGCGGAGCGCAACCCAAAAGCACTCAACCTGAAGCACATTCAACCCAAGGTATGACTATAATAATAATCCAGCTAAATCTAATATAATAATAAAATAAATCAGCTAAAACCGATAAAATAAAAATAATAATCCAGCTAAAACCAGGGGGCCAACATGCTCTCCAGTTGAATTTTGAGCTATAAGCTCCAGTTTCACAGCTCAAGTCGCACCATTTGGTCATGCAGGGAGGGCCATTATCTTACATTTCAGAGCAAACCATATGAAATGACTATTTATTGTGGAAAGCTACGACATTTACAAAGCAGCAGGCCTATAAACAGGTAGCATAAATGATAACAGGATAATAATAATAGTAATTTATACCCTGCCCATCTGGCTGGGTTTCCCCAGCCACTCTGGGTGGCTTCCAACAGAATATTAAAAACACGATAAAACATCAAACATTAAAAACATCCCTAAACAGGTGTGAAATTTTATCCTCAGCTACAGTTATAAAATAGCAAATACACTTAAGAGATGGACAGTTTTCGAGTCTGTTGCTCTCAGGCCGTTTCTGAGTGTCCCTCTAGCAAATCTTTACACGTGGTCTTTTTAAAAATCAAACTTGTTCTGTTCAGCATATTAGCAAGTGCTAATGGTCCATGCAGTCTGGATTTCCCACACGCCAATGTGAAATGTTCTGAGCGGCTTTTCCTGCAGCTCCTCCTTTCATTATCTGAAACTGAGAAGGCTGAAGGTAACATTCAACGAACCTGACGGAATCCAGCCCTTTCTCTGGTTGTGTATACACACCATACATTTAAAGCACATACCCACCCTCCAATATCCAGGGAGCCATAGTTTATAAGGGGTGCTGGGAATTGTAGCTCTGCTACTACAGTTTCTGGGATTCTTGGCAGGGAAGGAATGTGTTGTAAACATGGTGTGCGTCTGCTCCACATCAAATACCTCCCCTACAATACAGTTACTTCCCCACAACCTCACTTTATTTCCCTACCTCACATTTGAGGGCAATTGCCCTTTTTTATACTGGATCCAATCACTGTTAAGTTCAAAGAGTAACAGTACAAGTAGAAAACAATTTCATCTATTATGAATGAATGAATGAATTTCATCTATTAAGAACAAGAGCACTGCTAGGTAAGACCAGGAACCCACCTAACATCCTGTTTGCCACAGTGTCAAACCCTGGGAAGCCCACAACCAGAACGCAAGTTATTTTCTTATCTTGTTTCCTCAGCAGCTGGTATTCAAAGACATGGAGGTCGTACACAGTATTTGATCCTGGAGACGGCACACAGCCATCATGACTAGTAGCCACTTGCAGACTTATCCTCCATAAAATGGTCCAATCCTCTTTAAAACCATCCAACTTGGTGGCTTTTAATAGAACTTGTGGGAGAGAATTCTGTAATTGAACAACGTGCTGTGTGAAGACATACCCACTTTTAGTCTGTTCTGCATTTTCATGGGATGGCTCTAGTATTATTCTCCACATGCCCCTCTTTCATATGCCCCCTAACCTGTTTTCTGAACAAAAAAACCCCAAATATTGCAACGTTTCCTTACAGAGGAGCTGCTCCAGCCTCACGATCATTTGGGTTGCCCTTTTCTGCACGTTCTCCAGTTCCACAATATTCTTTTCACAATGCAGAACTGTACACAGTATTCCAAGTGTGCCTGCCCCAAAGATTTGTATAAAATACATGAATGATATTGGCTGTTTCTATTCTATTTGCCTCCCTGCTGCTCCACACTTTTCATTGAGTTTATCCACCAGTATCTCATTTCTGGTCAGTCAACACCAGATCACACCCCATAAGTGCAATGTGAAGTGTTTTGCCTCAGTGTGCATCACCCTATACTTACATGCACTAAACTGCTTTTGTTATTTTAATATTTTGTTTTACCAGTTTGGAGGGGCCTTATTGGCCTTGTCTTAGCCTCTGTGACTCCTGGCTTTAACCACCCGCATTAAGCATAGCTCTTTCCCATCTTTGCCCATGCCATTTCTTTAAAAACTGAAATGAGAATAATAAAGAGCACTTCTATTCCCCTCAGCACCAGAACCACAGAGCCTGTCCCCACATAGGTACATTGCAAAGATCTCTCTTTATTGGAATCGAACACGACCCATAGCCTCCTTGGCAGCAGCAGCAGCAGCAGCAGAAGAAGAAGAAGAAGAAGAAGAAGAAGAAGAAGAAGAAGAAGAAGAAGAAGAAGAGTTTGGATTTGATATCCCGCCTTTCACTCCCTTTAAGGAGTCTCAAAGCGGCTAACATTCTCCTTTCCCTCTCCTTTCCCTTCCTCCCCCACAACAAACACTCTGTGAGGTGAGTGGGGCTGAGAGACTTCAAAAGTGTGACTAGCCCAAGGTCACCCAGCAGCTGCATGTGGAGGAACGGGGAAGCAAACCCAGTTCACCAGATTACGAGACGGCCGCTCTTAACCACTACACCACACTGGCTTATAAAAGCAGCCTGAGAAAGGGTCTTGAATTTTTTAAAACTTATGAAGATGCTCCTGTAGTGCTGCTGAAGCCAGCTGTGCTACTTCTGCATATCTCACCATATCTACTCATTTTGAGCTCTGAAAGCATCTCTCCTGACTCCTAAATAGCTACTAGCGAAGCCAGCATCTAAGCTACTAAGAAATGACCCATTCACAAGCAATTCCACAACTGTGCTGCCCAGTGGCTGCCTCTCAGCTCTGAAGATGCTAAACTCCTAGTGTGTCTTCTCTGTAGAACTTGTAGGCAGATCATAGAATCATAGAGTTGGAAGAGACCACAAGGGCCATCGAGTCCAACCCCCTGCCAAGCAGGAAACACCATCAGAGCACTCCTGACATATGGTTGTCAAGCCTCATAAGGGGCACATGAGAGAGATGCAAAATGTTTTACGCCTGCATTTTGCCTTCACTGTACAGTTATAAATACGTAAGGGAATGGTCAGGATCTCTGGCATTACTACCACAGGATACGTGTTCCGCTTTTTTTACACTGGTGCTCTCTGGTTTATAAAGTTTACTTTGGCCATCGGACCAAATCGGATTAGAGTCCTCTCCCGTACGGATATTAGAAAAAGGCTCTATTTTGGACCAGTTGTGATCCTTTTTGATGGTAAGATCTATTAAGAAAGTCCTCCAGTGAGCATTCCGATCGTGTACCTATAGCAGGGGAAGAAAACAATACAAAAAATACTGTTGTTATTTAAGTTCTGACCTGATTAGAGCAATCATAAAGACCTTCTAAAACAATTTAAAAAATCAATTTGAGTCATGCAACTGTGCCTAACTAGACCCATTTTTAAAAAACAAAGCAATGTGGATTAAGGCCCCTTTGGGATTAAGGGCTCTGACAGTAAATTCATGTTAGGATATTTCCGTTCCACCTTAAAAGGGAGCAGGCTTTGTGAGTCACAGAGTCTGCGCATGTCCTGTTCACAGTATCCCAACAATTCACTCCTAGACAGACACCAAAGCAATTTACTACATGGGTGTTCTAAGCTTTTTAAAGGTCATTGCAAATATTTTTTTATACTCAAAGAGTATTAAGCTTGTTTGCCTGCCCATCCCTATTAAAATGAATGGGGCAAACTGGAGAACATACCAGGACATGCCTTCTCAGGGTAGACAGATCTGTGAAGGTCCTTTCACAGGCCCTGCACTTGTAGGGTTTTTCTCCAGTGTGAATACGCTGGTGACGCCTCAGGGCTCCTTGCTGAGTAAAGGTCTTTCCACACTGCTCACAGAAATAAGGAGGAGTCTCTGAGAAAACAAAACAGACCTCACCAATATTGGGGGTGTATTTACAAAATCTATTTCTCTCTCATCTTTAGACCCATTTTGGGTCTACTTAGTGGCTTGTAAGGTAAACACAGACTGGTATCAGAAAACAAAGTACCGTATTTTTCGCTCCATAAGACACACTTTTTTCTTCCTAAAAAGTAAGGGGAAATGTCTGTGTGTCTTCTGGAGCGAATGCATGGTCCCTGGAGCCAAATTGCCCAGGGGCAAAAAGCAGATCATGCTTTTTTCTTTTTGAAAGAGGGAAGTGGGTGTTGAAACAAAGCCGCTGATCAGCAAGCAATTGGCAGCGAGATAAGGGACGCTAGCGATAAAGGAGGCTGCCTGGGAGGGGGGAGGTAAAGACATCAAACTTGCAAAGGGGGGAAACAAGAAGGCTAAAGCAATAAGGAGAGAAATTAGAAGAAAAGGAGGAGCAAAAAACGGCTCCAGCTAAGGAAAAGACACTAAGGCAAATAAGAGGCAAGGGGGTGTTGAAAGGAAGCAGCTGATCGGCAAGCGATCGGGGAAAGAGATAAGGGACGCAGAGATAAAGGAGGCTGCCTGGGAGGGGGGAGGTAAAAGCCCATGGATCCTCAGGATTTTTGCATTGGGTCACCCCAAATTCACCATCAGATCACATAGCATGTCCATGGCTACAGCCTGCACCAAAAACACACACACATCCACTGTTTTGTGGGGCCGCAATGGCGCAAAAACGTGGTTACAAAGCACAGAGCCACATGGATTCTCAGGATTTTTGCATTGGGCTACCCCAAACTCACTGTCAAATCACATGTCTGTGGCCACAGCATGAACCACAAAAACCACACATCCACTGTTTCGGTGTTTTTTCTTATTTTCCTCCTCTAAAAACTAGGTGCGTCTTATGGTCAGGTGTGTCTTATGGAGCAAAAATACGGTAAGTTCGAAACAGGAGAGAGACAGAAGCCAACAGACACAGCAGCTGTTAAACAGCAAAGCTGAGAATCGTAACTCTGTAAGGGATTTCCAACTCTCAGCGCTACAGTTCCCAGGATTCACAACCATGACTGGGATAAGAGTGATTTTCATGTAAGGCATGAATGCGACTGATGCCTTGAGGGCACTACCATGGCAGGAAAACAACACAGGGGAAAGCTGGCTTTCATCAAGGAAAGATATTGCCAAGTAGGGAAAACGGGAAACCCAAGTTTTTTGCGGTTGTCAACGTTTTACAGATACCCAACAAGAATTCAGGGTTCTGAAAGGTGAGCATTCGGGGAAGCTAGAGCACACAGATCTATTTAATTTTCAATGACTCTCAAGGAAATACATTGTCCCCCTTTGCCTGGAATGAAATAAAGTTTGAAATTTAGCCCAGAGCACCCTAGCTTATGTACACATGTAACAATCTCCTGCTTAGAACATAAATTGTACTGAAAGTATTTAACTAACAAAGTATTTCCACATGACAATTCTTGTATCATATTTAAATATGTATTTTTTGCTCTATAAGACTCACTTTTTCCCTCCTAAAAAGCAAGGGGAAATGTGTGTGCGTCTTATGGAGCGAATGCAGGCTGCGCAGCTATCCCAGAAGCCAGAACAGCAAGAGGGATTGCTGCTTTCACTGCGCAGCGATCCCTCTTGCTGTTCTGGCTTCTGAGATTCAGAATATTTTTTTTCTTGTTTTCCTCCTCCAAAAACTAGGTGCGTCTTGTGGTCTGGTGCATCTTATAGAGCGAAAAATACGGTAGTATTTCCACATGATGATTCTTGCATCATATTTAAATAAATATGCAAGGCACATTGCCAACTGTGGTCTGGGACAGATTCTGGATTCTTACGCTGTACTTGCACAGAATGAACGCTGCATGTGGCAGAGACTTTCATCAACACGATCCATCTCCTCCACCCCCACTGGGAAGGGATTTATTACCTGCATGAACGTTACTGTGTTGGGCTAATGAGGCCCTCAGTCCAAACGTTTTCCCACACACATCACACTTGTACGGCTTGGCTCCCATGTGGCAGCGCTTATGGCATTTCAAGTATTCGTTGGTAGAAAAATGTTTTCCACAGACATCACACTTGAACAGACGCTCTCCTGCAAAGGAAATGAATGGTGGTAGAATTATGTTACTGACCGTTACCTATGCTGATGATCACCCACAGGAGACGTCCAAAGAACGTCCAGGGATGGGGAGCCTCTCCAGATGTTGTTGGACTACAATTCCCATTATTCCTGAGCATTGGCTAGGCCGCCTGGGGATGCCATTTGTTTATTTACTTTTTACCCCACTCTGGGCCCGGGACAGCAGTTGGGTGTCCCAACAACCTTTGAACAACTACGTATTCAGTGATTACCCCTGCGAAATTAGCAAAAATGTATAAAACATGTAGCAAATGCTGGAAATGCAGGGAAAAAGAGGGAACTTTCTACCACATGTGGTGGGACTGCAAAAAGGTTAAAGGTTTCTGGGAAAAGGTATATACGGAAATGAGAAAAATTTTAAAATGTACTTTCGAAAAAAAACCAGAGGCCTTTTTGTTAGGTTTATCAGGAAAAGAGATTAAGAACAAAGACGGCAAATTTTTCCAGTATGCAACAACTGCAGCAAGAGTTTTACTAGCCCAAAACTGGAAACAACAGAAAATACCGACAATCGACGAGTGGAGAGAGAAACTATTAGACTATGCGGAATTAGATAGACTGACGGGAAAAATCAGATACTTAAGAGATCAAAGGTTTATAGAGGAATGGGGAAAATTCGTGGAATATCTGGATAATCTAAGTGAGGGACAAATAACGCTAGTAGGGTTTAAAAGAACTCTGTGATGTTAGTAAGAATATTGTCTAAAGAAAAAGGGTGAAAAGGATTTCAATAATGTCAATAGATAGTAGGAGATGTAAAAGTATGTGTTGATAGACAACGGAGGATTCGCGGAAAGGCTGAAGGAAGTCTTAAAAAGTGAATTTGTTGAATACAAGATGTGATTATTTAATTTTTATTTGTTTTGTTGCAAATTAATAAAAATTATGCATGAAAGAAAAAAAAGAACAACTACATATTCAGTGGGACACTAGAAAGGCCAGTGTGTGTGTGTGTGTGTGTGTGTGTGAGAGAGAGAGAGAGAGAGAGAGAGAGAGAGAGAGAGAGAGAGAAAGAAATAATTTTTATTTGAATTTAGAAGTATAGAATTATAACAATACAAAATACATATCCATATTTAGAGATTTCTCTGAATCTCTGGACTTCCCCTCCATGGGTCCTATTGTCAACCTTTTCAACTGCATATTGTTTAGTAATCCATATTTTATGTCTCTCCATTTTGTCCATAAAATTTGCTACATTTGCTACATTACAACTACCTGACATTTAGAATACATCTGAAGGCAGCCCTGTTCAGGGAAGCTTTTAATGTGTGACATTTTGATGTATTTTTAATCTTTGTTGGAAGCTGCCCAGAGTGGCTGGGGAAACCCAGCCAGATGGGCGGGGAACAAATAAATTATTATTATTATTATTATTATTACTACTACTACTACTACTATTGCAATCCTGCTAATTTTTTCATCTGCTTACAGTGCTCTCCCAGGTAAATTATAAATTTTCCCCATTCTTTATTAAAGATTTGGTCTTTTTGGTTCCTGAGCTTTCCAGTCAGTTTTGCCATTTCAGCGTACTCCAACAGCTTAGTTTGCCACTCCTCTCTGGTAGGGACTTTGTCTTCTTTCCATCTCTGGGCTGGGAGCATCCGTGTGGCTGTCGCCGCACAGTGCTGATATTTTAGACACACATTTGCGATCTACTCCTGTTGATGGGCCTCATATTCCCCTTCCCTGGTCCAGGAGATCTCTTCTACACTCTCTACCTTCCAACGGATAGTTGCCTCTCTTTCTGCTCCTGGGATATATGATCCTTTAAGCCTCTGCTGCAACAGTTACACATCTTTTTCTGTGTTGTCAATGCCACAGAAGCCCTGGGCAGGTGGCCATTTGTAGCAGCGCTGGAGAGTGAAGAAATGTGTGTGCTGCCTCATTCCTGATCGCAGGGTAACATGTAGTTCGCCCCGAGAGAAAAGGCTGGAGTAAGTGCGAGGCGCTGTGGGTTAAACCACAGAGCCTAGGACTTGCCGATCAGAAGGTCGGCGGTTCGAATCCCCGCGACAGGGTAAGCTCCCGTTGCTCGGTCCCTCCTCCTGCCAACCTAGCAGTTCAAAAGCACGTCAACGTGCAAGTAGATAAATAGGTACCGCTCTGGCGGGAAGGTAAACGGCGTTTCCGTGCGCTACTCTGGTTCGCCAGAAGCGGCTTAGTCATGCTGGCCACGTGACCTGGAAGCTGTATGCTGGCTCCCTCGGCCAATAAAGCGAGATGAGCGCCGCAACCCCAGAGTCGGTCACGACTGGACCTAATGGTCAGGGGTCCCTTTACCTTTAAGTGAATGAGAGGGAGCTTAAGAGTTATGCCTCACAGGAAATCTGCTAACCTCCCCCACCATCATCCTTTTCAACTACTTATCTGTAATTCATGAAAAGTCGTAGAATTGTAGAGTTGGAAGGGACCCCAACGGTCATCTATCCCAACCCCCGGCAATGCAGGATTGTAATCAGAATAAATCAATATGCACCGATAGGCATTAACCTCTGCCACATCCAAGGACTGGATTTAAACGCTTACCTGTATACCTGAAGGAGCGTCTCCACCCCCATTGTTTAGCCCGGACACTGAGATCCAGCGCCGAGGGCCTTCTGGCAGTTCCCTCATTGCAAGAAGTGAGGTTACAGGGAACCAGGCAGAGGGCCTTCTTGGTGGTGGCGCCCGCCCTGTGGAACACCCTCCCTTCAGATGTGAAGGAAATAAGCAGCTATCCTATCTTTAAAGCACATCTGAAGGCTTTCAGGGAAATAAAATCTGAAGGCTTTCAGGGAAATAAGCAGCTATCCTATCTTTAAAGGACATCAGGGAAGTTTTTAATATTTAATGCTGTACTGTTTTTAACATTTGATTGGGAGCTGCCCAGAGTGGCTGGGGAAACTCAGCCAGATGGGCGGGGTATAAGTAATAAATTATTTTATTATTATTATTATTATTATTATTATTATTATTATTATTATTACTACTATTATTATACCTGTATGTGTCCTCTTGTGGCCGGTAAGCTTGCCTTTATCTACAAAGGAAGCTCCACAATCCTCACAGATGTATGGCTTTTCACCTGTATGGGACCTGCAGTCAAAGAAATATGAAAACGCTGTCAAAACATGTGAAGAGTGACATGTCCTGCTTAGTAAATATTACAGATAGTTTGCCAGTATTCCACCCCTCTCCCTCATCTCCCTGCCACCACCCAAGGCAAGCGGCAGAGAACTTCTCAGGAAATGACTCCTGCCATAGCCTGGGGACTTGGACTAAATGATCTTCAGGCACTTTCTGGCTATACGATTCTATGGCTACAGCAAAAAAAAGTATCAAAGATAGAGTTGTCAAATAAGAAAAGAAAAATTCAGATTTCTCATTCCTCTAGAGCAGGCTTAGGCAAACTCCGGCCCTCCAGATGTTTGGGACTACAATTCCCATCACCCCTAGCTAAGAGAACCAGTGGTCAGGGATGATGGGAATTGTAGTCCCAAACATCTGGAGGGCTGGAGTTTGCCTATGTCTGCTTTAGAGTACAACCAATAACAGCAGACTTAATTAAAATAAAATTTAAAAAATCAGTACAGGATAATTTGAGATGGAATGGGAGAACCTTCGAGTCTCCAAGCATTCTTGGATGCCAACTTCCACTAGCCCTCAGCCGGAATGCTGAGGGATTTTAGTCTTTATTTATTTAGATAAATAAATATAAACCACACTTTTGTAAAAATACCACAAAATGGCATGCGCCAGACAAAATTACAATCAGAAGTTGTAAGTCCAGCAACACGGAAGTTCTCCTGATTTAAGACCTCCTGAGAACAAATAGAGAAGGGAACCCCAGCTCAAGGAAACAGGTTTTTAAACTTGCCCCCACTGAGGTAGCAAGAGAAATCATGTAACATTACCAGAAATTTCGAAGCACGGAAAGTCAGTCCCCACCTCTGCTCCCATTTGGAGTTGGTCCAAGAGCTGCTTTGTATATTTGTGTGTTTAAGCGGTGTGTCACCTTTTTAAAAAATGCTAGAACTATTTAGTTCTAGTTGTATTACAACTACTACTGAAGGTTGCCAGCTACACACTCTTCCACCCCCCACCTACACTCATTGGAACATTTACTGTTTGTTAATGCAGTGGTACCTCGGGTTAAGTTCTTAATTCGTTCCAGAGGTCCATACTTAACCTGAAACTGTTCTTAACCTGAAGCACCACTGTAGCTAATGGGGCCTCCCGCTGCTGCACCGCCGGAGCACGATTTCTGTTCTCATCCTGAAGTGAAGTTCTTAACCTGAAGCACTATTTCTGGGTTAGCGGAGTCTGTAACCTGAAGCGTATGTAACCTGAAGCGTATGTAACCTGAGGTACCACTGTATGCATGGCCAATATGATGAGTTAGAAGTAAGTACCCAATTCTGGTGCATGCAGAATTTGCAAAATTAAAGATAGAAGATAGAAAAGAGAGAGAGAGAGAGAGAGAGAGAGAGAGAACAGGCTTACCTGGTGTGAATCTTGAGCTGCGATGGCTGGGCAAATCTTGAACAACAAATGCTGCACTGGTATGGCTTCTCGCCTGTGTGGGTCCTCATGTGAAACACTAGCGCCGTTCTTGAGCTCAAGATCTTCCCGCAGACAGAGCAAAGGGGACGCTTCACTCTTCCTTCGTGCTTCCGCATATAGTGGGTCCTCACATCCCTTTTCCTTTTAAAAGTGGCGTTGCAGAGGGTGCAGGAAAACTGCCTGTCGTCCGTGTGGACGCTCGCCCTGTGCTCCTTCCAGCTGTTGTAACTCGCAAAGGACTTGCTACAAACGTCACACTGATAAATTTTACCAGGCACAGAATGGTGGACGTTTTTGCAGTGGTCAGTGTATTTCTTCCGCGAGACGAACTTCTCCGCACATTTGGTACACGTTATAACGTAGGCCGATTTTTTGGCGCCCTCGTTTTTGTTCACAACGCCCCTCGCTTTGCAACCGGCGTCCGATTTGCTTTCTTCAGCGTCTTGATCATTTGAATTCTCATCGATGTCTTCGGAAGAGACTGCCTCATTCTCTTCCCTGCCCCTTACTTCTGTTTCACAGTCCCTTTCTCCTTTTACACAGTCCTCTGCAACTAAAGTCCTGCATCCATCTGGTTTTTCTCTTTGAATATCAGCATCACCACGTCGCTCCTGACTTTCCTCTTTACTCTCAGACTCTGCTTCCAAAGGAGGAGGATTCCTGGATTCTCCCTCAAGCTCTCGAGTTTTTTCATCCACAGGTTCTCTTTGCAAGTCGCTGTTTGGTACCTTTGGGTATGTTTTGCTATTCTTGTCAACTTTGCTATCTATAACATCTGCTTTTTTTGTTGGCGGGGCTATCATCCAGTAATCTGGACTGAGTTTCCTGTCTTGTCCCGATTCATGTATTTTTCTGTTGGGGGAAAAAAAGTAATGCCACCTGTAAATTAGATACAATTTTCCGCAGGCTATACTAGATACACAAATAATCCATATATTCATACAAGGGCAAATTCGATTGAAAAGCATCTAAGGCCACAATCCTAACCTCCTTTCTATGGGGTAAGCCCCAATGACCTAAGTAGGACATACTTCTAAGTCAAAATGCATAGGCTATTGCTGCCCCCATCACTAGGTGCTATTCTAAGATTTTTTTTCCAGCAGGCATTTCCAGGTATGATATTTAATTACTGTTTGCTACGCAGGTGGCGCTATGGGTTAAACCACAGAGCCTAGGACTTGCCGATCAGAAGGTCCCTGCTCCTGCCAACCTAGCAGTTCAAAAGCACATCAAAGTGCAAGTAGATAAATAGGTACCACTCCGGCGGGAAGGTAAACGGCGTTTCTGTGCACTGCTCTGGTTCGCCAGAAGCGGCTTAGTCATGCTGGCCACATGACCCAGAAGCTGTATGCCAGCTCCCTCGGCCAATAAAGCGAGATGAGCGCGCAACCCCAGAGCCGGTCACGACTGGACCTAATGGTCAGGGGTCCCTTTACCTTTACCTTTACCATCTTAACTTTGCTTTCGTTTTAAAAACTGGTAAGTTTTGATGTATTGGTTGGACCTGTCTGCTGCATTGGATAGGTTTCTTTTTCTAGAAAGGTGGGATAGAAAAGCTTAGTAAAATAAAATGGAAATTGACAAATGCACATCATGAAGGCAAAGTTAAACGCAGAGCCTGCAATTCTAGAATACATTCCTGGGAGTAAATTCAGTTGATCTTAGTGGGGTTTGCTTCTGAGTAAGAGATGCAATGGACTGTGATGTAAAGCATCATTTCATAATCTTGTCCTGAGCAGCAGCAGCCAAGTATAAAGTCTGACAATAATAATCACCCCTAGCAACGCACAGGGCATAAAGACTCCAAGGCAGTTTGTATGAGCTGGCTGACAAGGAGAGCAAACTGAGAAGCACAGCACCTTTGTTTCTCTGACTGTGGCTAAGTTTGGTTTGCTGAGCCACACGTTGTCCAGGCTATAAAAGGAAGAAAGAAAAGTTTATTGTGCTGCCTGTAAGCTTCACAGACTGGCTGTGGAAGCCATGCAGCAGATACTTTTACACTGATAGAACTGTCTAAATGTAACTTTGAATATGCTTGTATAATAGCACTGCAATAACAAGAAGAACGCGGGTGGCGCTGTGGTATAAACCACTGAGCCTTGGGCTTGCCGATTGGAAGGTTGGCGGTTCTAATCCCCGCGAGGGGGTGAGCTCCCGTTGCTCAGTTCCAGCTCCTGGCAACCTAGCAGTTCGAAAGCACGTCAAAATGCAAGTAGATAAATAGGTACCACTTTGGCAGGAAGGTAAACGGTGTTTCCATGCACTGCTCTGGTTTCACCAGAAGTGGCTTAATCATTCTGGTCACAAGACCCTGAAAAACTGTCTGCAGACAAACGTCGGCTCCCTCGGCCAGTAAAGCGAGATGAGCGCTGTAACCCCAGAGTCGTTCGCGACTGGACTTAACTGTCAGGGGTCCTTTACCTTTTTTTTTTTAAGAAAAAGAAGAAGAGTTTGGACTTGATACCCTGCCTTTCACTCCCCTTAAGGAGTCCCAAAGCGTCTAACAATCTCCTTTCACTTCCTCCCCCACAACAAGCACTCTGTGAGGTGAGTGGGGCTGAGAGACTTCAAAGAAGTGTGACTAGCCCAAGGTCACCCAGCAGCTGCATGTGGAGGAGCGGGGAAGCGAACCCGGTTCACCAGATTACGAGTCCACCGCTCTTAACCACTGCACCACACTGGCTCTAAAGCAAATCCTCTAAAGCTGGCAGACTCCTATTCGCTTCTGGATAAAATTTCTAACAGCAAAGAGATGAAGACAGAAAACTATCTCCCAATATTCTGAAATGCACGAAGACTTTACCTTACATGAGTAGTGAAGGCAGATCTCTGAGCAAAACTTGCCGCACAGCCTCCGCACTTATAAGGCTTCTCTCCCGTATGTGTCCGAATGTGAACCGTCAAGCCACATTTAGAGCTGATCACCTTGTCACAGTACGGACACCTCTGAGGATTCTTTTTCTTCTCATGCACTCTCCGCATATGATGGCTGATGTCTTTCTGGCACTTAAACCTTTTGTCGCACAACAAGCAGGGGAACTGCTTTTCATCGTCGTGAACGGTGAGCCTATGTTGCCTTAGGTCCTGGCAGCTGGGAAAGAGTTGGCCACACATATCGCAGCTATATTGAACCACCAGTTCTGCGTCATGTTCTTGTTCCATGTGCGACTGGTACTGCTTGGCAAAATGGAAGGAATGACAACACTTGTCACATGTGTATGTATGGGGCAAGACTTTCGATATATTGCGCGGCGATTTCCTGAGTTTGGTTTCGCTAAGATTCAAGCCGTTTTCATCCTCCTCCTGGCCGGGTAGCATCTTGCTTGTAACAATGCAGGCTTCCTTGGAGTCCACCTGATTTAGTGACAGGTAGCTGGCCTTATTTTCCGGCGGGCTGACATTCTTCATAGTATGAGCGCCGTGCATGTCTATTTCGTGACATCCAGCTGACGCTGCTGTGCTGTCTTTGGGCCCCTCAAACACAACACCATATTTGTCAGAACAGCCAGGTTTACTTTCACTACCATCATAGACGGCAGTCAGTTTTGTGTGCTTCTTTCGGTCCCAAAGCTGTCTCTTCATGGGCGCTGCCAAAATTCGGGACGAAGCACTCTGTTCCTTGTTTTCTACTTGTTTTGTTTTACTGCAGACAGACCTACTGCCTTCCTGTCTTTCTGAAGGAACACCCAGATCCAAATCTTCTCCTGCAGCCTTCATTTCTTCAAAAACATCAAGCAGATCTTGGCATTCAAGTCTTTCGGCTACCTCCTTTATTCGGTGCAGTTTGTCCGCTTCAATTTCTACTTCTGTTGTGTAGGCAAACTTTAGGAAGCAGGCAAATTCTTCAGTCTGAACACCCTGGAGAGTCACCCGACAATCTCTGGCTTTCAGCATCTCATCGGTGAGGAACAGGCTTCTAAAGTAATTGCTGGAAGCAGCCAATACGACTTTGTGAACGAAAAACTCCTCCTGGATGCCAAACTGGTCTGTGTATATTATTGCATCACAGAAGTGGCCAAACTGATAGAGAGAATGCAAGGTTCTCAGTAGGTTGGAAGCAGCCGTGTTGGATTTCATTACAATTTTCTTTTTCTCCATCCTATCAAAAGGAAGTGCGTCAAAGAATGGTGATACATTGGCTTGTATAAATCCTCCACTTTCAAAATAAATAAATGAATAAATAAATTCACAGTTAACACAGAATGTCACACATTAATAACTGAAGATGAAGTTTATGGAATTCAAAGGACTGTATGACCAGTCCTCCCTCTGTAGAGGGAGACAGACTAACAGTGCAATCCTATCATGCCAACTCAGAAGGAAGTCTCATTGAGTTCAATAGAACTTACTTCCTGGTAAATAAACACAAGGAGAGCAGCCTAAGAAAACTGAATAAAGTGTGCACTATTAAATAAACTTGCACTATTAAGCCTACCTAGTAGGGAGCCTTGGTGGAAATTTATTACAGTATATTCCAGGGTCTACTCTCTATTTGCTGCCTTGTGCAAAACTGAGAAGACACCTACCCACGATGAGAAACATGGAATGCAAAAGAGTCGACAGGCACACTTAGACACTTTCATGCAATTCTGAGAATCTTGCATAGAAAACATCACGCTATGAGGGAAAACCGAAATGTTTGAAGGAATAGAGGTGTAGGGAAGCGGGGGGGGGGGGTGTTCTCTGCTAAAACGAGGATTTGGGAGTCATCCAGTGAAACTGACAGGCAGAAAATGCAGCCCAAACAAAACAAATTACTTCTTATCACCAAACACTTATTTATTTTATAAGATTTATACACCGTTTGATTGCTGTTGTTTGAAATCCCTCAAAGCGGTTTACAAAAGATAGCACAGTAAAATCAAGGGGAGGGGGAATTACAACCCTTACTTCAAAACCTGCAAAAGTAAAAATACAAAAAAGTAGATTAAAACTTTCTAAGCATCTGGGGAGGTTTGTCTAAATAGGAGTGGGTTTTGTTTTTTTTAGCAGGTGTCAAAAAGAGCACAGCGAAGGCCCTGCATGATCTCAACAGGCAAGGGAGTGAGAGGCGCCCCTGCACTAAGGGACTGGGCTCTTGGTGCAACTTCAAACTGTTAGAATATAGAACTGTAGAGCTGGAAGGGACCCAAGGGTCATCTAGTCCAACCCCTTGCCGTGCAGGAATCTTTTGCCCAACGTGCAAAACTCGAACCCACGACCCTGAGATTAAGAATGATCATGCTCTACCGACTGAACCAGCCCAGGTCCGAGTTCGTTGCCGAAAGCTGGTACCTTGGAAGGGCATCAAAATTGCAAGGACGTATCCCCCCCTCTGCACCCCCCCCCAACAACATGCAATGAGCTCGACCAGTGGAACCTCCACTTCCAGGGCAGAATACCTTTTGAATTATGACAACCAAGCGCTGCTGCCTTTCCCGGGGCGGAGAGAAGGAAGCGGAGCTGAAACTAAGCGGACCTTTCTTTCCCTTTTTGCAGCATCTCTCAAAGCGGGGAAGGAAAACGCTCCGCGTGACCCTCGGCGGCCACCGTAGCAGGGCAAGGAAAGGCAGGAACTGCAAAGACAGTGCCCGCCCGCCCACCGGACATCTTTCTCGCGGGGAAAGTGACGCCGTGGGAGCCATTTTTGGTGCTGGCAGCTTTTTCCGCCCGCGCTGCCGCGGAAGGGAAGGGATTGGCGGAGAAACGTCACGTGGGGAGAGTTTCTTTGATGGGGGGAGGGGGAATGCAGCCTGGGCTACGGAGAAGTTGGTTATAAACATCTATTTATTTTTTTATATATAATTTTATTCAATTTTCTGTTTTACAATTTAGGGTATTCATTTAAATAATAATAATAATAATAATAATAATATAATAATAATAATAATAATAATAATAATAATAATAATTTATTATTTGTACCCCGCCCATCTGGCTGGGTTTCCCCAGCCACTCTGGGCGGCTTCCATAGAAACCAAAAAACACTAAAATATCATACATTAAAAACTTCCCTGAACAGGGCTGCCTTAAGATGTCTTTTGAATGTCAGGTAGTTGTTTATCGTTTTGACATCTGATGGGAGGGCATTCCACAGGGCGGGCGCCACTACCGAAAAGGCCCTCTGCCTGGTTCCCTGTAGCTTTGCTTCTCGCAATGAGGGAACCGCCCTCATTAAACATCCCTTCTTCTCTTTCCATGGTCCATTTTGCATAACATAAAAAGTTGCATATTTTACATAAGCCATTCAGTATTCCATTATTACTTCCATCAAAACTTATTTACACTGTTGAATTTATCTTAACGCTTCCAACGTTTTCAAGTGTTTCCCCCCATATATTCAATAAACCTTCGAATCCTAAATAAACCTAAATCCTTCGAAGACAGGTCCTCTGGCTGGGTTGGGATGGTATGGGGATGAGGGACCAACTCCCAATTAGTGCCATTGCCTTCCGTTAAGAGTTTGGGTGTAATCCTTGACGCCTCCCTTTCCATGGAGGCGCAAGTTACAGCAACAGCCAAGGCAACATTTTTCCACCTTCGCCGCAACAAGCAGTTGGTCCCTTACCTTTCCCGCCCCGACCTGGCCACAGTGATCCATGCAACGGTCATCTCCAGGCTTGACTACTGTAATTCGCTCTACGCGGGGCTGCCCTTGAAGCTGTCCCAGAAACTCCAGCGGGTGCAGAATGCTGCAGCGAGGCTCCTCACAGGGTCTCTGCCATGGGAGCATATTCACCCAGTGCTTTTCAAACTGTACTGGCTCCCGGTGGAGTACAGGGTCAGATTTAAGGTGCTGCTTTTGACCTTTAAAGCCCTTCATGGACTACGACCCTCATACCTATGGGACCGCCTCTACGGGTATGCCCCACGGAGAGCCTCAAGGTCCATAAACAGCAACACCCTAGTGGTTCTGGGCCCTAAGGAAGTTAGATTAGCCTCAACCAGAGCCAGGGCCTTTTCAACACTGGCCCCGGCCTGGTGGAACGCTCTGTCTCATGAGACCAGGGCCCTGCAGGATCTGATTTCTTTCCGCAGGGCCTGTAAAACAGTTGTTCCGCCTGGCCTTTTGGCTTGGAGTCAATTTGATTCCCTCCCCCTCTTTCTTTTTTCCTTTCTCCTCCTGTGATGAGGCTGTATTTTAATGTTCTAATGTTTTAATGTTGTATTTTAATCTTGTTTTTAAGTTGTATCCATTCAACTTGTTTTTATTATTGGTTGTTAGCCGTCCTGAGCCTGGCCTTGCCTGGGGAGGGCGGGGTATAAATATTTTGTTTTTTTAAAAAAATTATTATTATTATTAAACATTTTCCAATCTTCTTTAAACGTATGTTCTTCTTGTTCTCTTCTTGTATATGTTAGGTCTGCAAGCTGCACAAATTCTTTGGGCTGCAGTAGCGGTGTACATAACTAACCTTTTTTGACACCTGGGAAATAAACGCGGTTATAAACATTTAAATATATATACATTTGTGTTGCTATCGTTGCTGGAGCAAACCGTTGCACAATTAAGCGTGGGAAAGCAGTAAAATGCTAAATTAGGGGAGTGTCAAAACCCATGGATACCAAAGGGTTGCCGCCTTTGGCCAGATAAAATAAGGCATGAGTCAGGGAGGAATGGGGAGCTGCCTAAAAATCGCTTTACCTGGTGCAGAGTGAAACGACTTCGAAGCAATCCATTCCGATGGGTTGTTTCCAATACTCACAGAGCAGACCCAATGCAATTTATGGGTTAGCAATGCACATTCACTTCAATGGCTCACATCCTCCTCGCCTGCTAAGATGCTGCCTGTCAGAAGAATGGTAAATGTAGAAACCCAGCCAAAGAAAGAAAGAGGTGGAGGTGATCCGTGCTTGGCACACATCGGTTACTTGAATGCAATAGCACGCATTCCCATTTCCTAAAAGATGTTGCCATTTGTAAATTCCTGGAGGTCCAAAAAGCAATGATGGAGAGTAGGAACGAGGAATTATGGAAGATTAAGGGAACAGGAGCAAGGAAGATTGAGTGCATCCTGCTACTATTAATTCCCAGCTGCCCTGTTGTTTGAAAGCAAGTGTGTCTTTTATCTTTCATCAGCCTTTGTAAATTGTACCTAACCTTATTTTAAAACCTCTTAAGTCATAGAGAAATGTGCTGGTCCCAGGGGGAATAAGGTACTATTACCGTAGCCCAAGATCAGTCCAGAGTCTCTAGCAGGGTAGACGATCACTAGATGAGACGCGAGGTCCGAGACAGGGAGCCGGGCGGGGTAACAGGAACGATGGTAGGGCAGAAGCAGGAAGCCAGGCGAGGAACAGGAACACTGGTAGGGCAGAAGCAGGAGTCCAGGCGAGGAACAGGAACACTGGTAGGGCAGCAGCAGGGATCCAGGCGAGGAACAGAAACACCGGAGAGTCAGGAACAGGAAGCCGGGCGAGGAACAGGCACACTGGGAGTGCAGATCAAGGACTGGGTAAAGCAGGTACTCCACAACGACATTGCTCCCGCAACCTGGGACCGGGCTGCCTGACCTTTATCTTCTTCTAAGGCCGGGGGCGGTCCCGGCCCCCAGAAGCCCCGCCTCTCTTGGCCTTAAGGCGAGCACTCCTCCTGGGAGACACCAGTTCCCTTCGCCTCTCTGCCCTAAGCCTCTGCAGTTCAGGAGAGGCCGAAGGGTTACTGGGCCCCGGGGGAGGCTCACCTGTAGCCACTGAGTCTTCCAGCACCTCTGGGGCCAGAATGGTTTCACCTGGTGCCTGCTCTTGAGTTTCCTCAGCATCTAGGCCTTGCCCCAGTTCAGCCGGCCCTGGAGGCGGGGACTCCTGTGCCGGCTGGGATTCCTCCGGATCGCTCTCAGACTCGGAATCCCAGGCCATCACACCATCCCCCCTCCCAGGCCCCCCCCTCACTTGAGGGTCTGGACCCGGCTTGCTGGGGTACGCTGCATGAAACTCTCGGATGCAGGCAGGCACGTGGACGTTGACCGCTGGTTCCCAGGAACGGTCCTCTGGCCCATACCCCTTCCAGTCAATGAGATACTGCAGCCTTCCCCTGCGGTATCGGGAGTCCAGAATGCGTTCCACCTCATACTCAGGCTCTCCCTGCACCAAAACTGGCTGCGGTCGGGGACGGTTCGGGTGGAACTCGTCGGGTGGGGCCACCGGACTCAGAAGGGACCTGTGGAATACCGGGTGAACCTTCAGGTTTGCTGGCAACCGGAGACGGAATGCCACAGGCGAGACCTGGTTCACGATAGGGAACGGGCCGGTGAACCGGGCGTCCAGCTTCCGTGAAGGTCGAGAAGGGTGGAGGTGGCGAGTGGAAAGCCATACCAGGTCACCGACGTGAAGTTCCGGCCCCACCTGGCGGTGGCGGTCGGCCTGGACCTTGTACGCCTCCTTGGCCTGGCGCAGCTGCTCCATCAACAGCTGTTGCTGGGACTGGAGCTCCTGAAGCCACTCTGTCACCGCAGGGACCGCGGATGCTGGCAGCACATCCGGAAACAGCCGTGGATGATACCCATAACTGGCCTGGAACGGGGTCTGCTGGGTGGACACATTCACCGCGTTGTTGTAGGCGAACTCCGCCAATGCTAGGTGGTCGACCCAGTCATCCTGCTGGTAGCTGCAGTAACACCGAAGGTACTGCTCCAGCACCGCGTTCGCCCGTTCCGTCTGGCCATCGGTCTGTGGGTGGTAGGCTGATGAGAGACAGACCTCCGTCCCGAGGGTCTGGTGCAATGCTCGCCAGAACCGGGATGTGAACTGAACACCCCGGTCGGACACCACACGCTCAGGTAGGCCATGCAGGCGGAAGACATGCTGAAGGTACAGCTGAGCGGTGTCCTTGGCTGTGGGTACAGATGGGCAGGGGGCGCAGTGCACCATCTTAGTGAAATGGTCGGAGAAAACTAGAAGGCAGGTGCAGCCACGAGACGGGGGTAAGTCCACTACAAAGTCCAGTGAAACCGTGTGCCAAGGCCGTGGTGGAACTGGCAATGGCTGAAGCAGGCCGGGGGGTCGCCCGGTAGGGCCCTTGGCCCGCCGGCAGACATCACAACCAGCGACGTAGCGAGCCACGTCAGCCTTCAGACGGGGCCACCAAAACTCACGGCTTACCAGATGGGTGGTCCGATACCGCCCAAAGTGCCCCGCTGCTGGAGCATCATGGGTCATCTGGAGAACCTCAGCCCGCAGTGGCCCTGGCGGGATGTACAGGCGACCGTGGTGCAGCAGAAGGCCCTGATGCAAAACCAGCCCCGGATACTGAGGGCATGACCCTTCGGCCAGTTCCTGGAGTCGTTCCTGGGCCCAAGCATCGACCCGCTGCTGTTCCCGCACCCGAGCCTGCAGTGGCTCAGCCTCCTGGGTGGCCAGGAATGTAGCCGGTGGTAGGATCGTGGTGGGTACTGCCTGCTGTACCGTGTCTGTGTTGTCTTCAGGTTTCCGGGACAGGGCATCCGCCTTCTGGTTTTGGGAGCTAGGGATGTAGCGGATCCGGAACTGGAACCGGGAAAAGAACAACGCCCACCGGATCTGCCTTTGGTTCAGCTTGCGGGTGGTCTGGAGGTACTCCAGGTTCC